GGCCGCTCCTCACTGCCACCTCCATCAGCTCTTGCCTGCTCGCATGGGGGGGATGAGGTGTGTGGGATGCATGGGGTGTGGGGGACAAGGGGCGTGGAGAACTGCACATGGATCAGCACCCCTCCGTGCCGGTGAAGCCCTTGAACTCGCCCTCGAAGCGACCGCTCCTCACCGTCACCTCCATCAGCTCTTGCCTGCATGGGGGGTGGTGTGTGTGGGGTGTGGTGTGTGTGTTGTTTGATGCATGGTGTATGGCAGATGGTTAGTGGGACAAGGGACATATTGAGAAACACAAGCCACATCATTTGTATGACATGGGACTGAGTTGGGGGGCTGACGGGCAAAAGAAGATGGTGCGGAGGGGCACTGTCCAGGAAAGATGGTGGTTATCCCATGTGGATTTGCCCTCGTGAGCGAATTTTGAGGCGGGTGCGAAGATGGTGCTGAGAGGCACTGACCTGGAGAGAGGGTGGTTGTCACAGCCCATGAAGACCTGCCCTCGTGGCCGCGCTGCTAGAATGGCCGCACACAGGGATGCCGCGTCCTGCTTGGGCACAGGGGTGTGGAGCAGAGGGAATCAAGCAGGGCGCAGGGGGTAAGGGGAAAGGTGGTATACTGGCAGAGGGCAGGAGGCAGGGCGCAGGGGGCAGGGGGCAGGGCGCAGGGGGCAGGGGGCAGGGCGCAGCGCAGGAGGCAGGGGTGCAGAATTGAGCCGTATCTGAGGGCGGAATGATATGGCTGCCACATACCTCGTAGCTGATAAGATTCAGGATGTGATCTGGTCGCTGATCCACCGTGCCCTGTCTCAACCAGTATGTGTGCGCGCCCCTCTCAAGAGTGTACATACACAGTGATGAGGGCCTATGGCATGATACAACTGCCACGCACCTCGTAGCTGATGAGGATGAGAATGTGATCTGGCCGCTGGTCCACCGTGCCCTGTCTCAGCCAGTATGTGTGTGCATAGGCAGAGATACTCAGGCATGATACGACTGCCACACACACACATACCTCGTAGCTGATGAGGTTCAGGATGTGATCTGGCCGCTGGTCCACCGTGCCCTGTCTCAGCCAGTATGTGTGTGCATAGGCAGAGATACTCAGGCATGATACGACTGCCACACACACACATACCTCGTAGCTGATGAGGTTCAGGATGTGATCTGGCCGCTGGTCCACCGTGCCCTGTCTCAGCCAGTATGTGTGTGCATAGGCAGAGATGCTCAGGCATGATACGACTGCCACACACACACATACCTCGTAGCTGATGAGGTTCAGGATGTGATCTGGCCGCTGGTCCACCGTGCCCTGTCTCAGCCAGTATGTGTGTGCATAGGCAGAGATGCTCAGGCATGATACGACTGCCACACACACACATACCTCGTAGCTGATGAGGTTCAGGATGTGATCTGGCCGCTGGTCCACCGTCCCCTGTCTCAGCCAGTACGTGTGCGCGCCCCTCTCCACTTGTGCATACACTGTGACAATCAGGCATGATATGGCTGCCACATACATACCTCGTAGCTGATGAGATTCAGGATGTGGTCTGGCCGCTGGTCCACTGTCCCCTGTCTTAACCAGTACGTGTGTGCGCCCCTCTCTAGAGTGTACAGCCCTGCCAGCCGCACCACGTTGCCGCCCGCCTCCAGGGCGGCGCCTTCGGCTTTTAGCAGCACGTCGACGCGCGGGCTGGCGCCGGGCGGCACGGTGGGAGCGCCCTCGGGGCAGAAGGAGTTGTCAGAGACGGCGTAGACAGCGCTGCTGGACGTGAAGAGGAACGCTCCCGTGCCGTTCCATAGTGCCGCTGCTGCCCTGCAAGAAGGGGTAGGAGGGGGACGGGCAGAAGGAGTTGTCAGAGACGGCGTACACGGCGCTGCTGGACGTGAAGAGGAATGCCCCCGTGCCGTTCCACAGTGCCGCTGATGTCCTGCAAAAGAAAAGCAGGGGAAACGGGAGGAGGTCGGTCATGGGGAGGGGAGGAGGTCGGTCCCGTGCTGTTCCACACCACTGCTGCTGCTGTCCTGCCATGGGGGGAGGAGGGGACGAGGGGTGGTTACGAGGGAGGTACTGGGGGAGTGCAAGCATGAGGCGACCCCCTGAGGCGAGTGGAATTTCACCACAGGAATGAGGAAAGGGGGAAGAAGAGAAGAGGGGATTGGTCACAGGGAGATTTTTTTCAAGGAATGAGGCATGGAGAAACGCAAGAGAAGAGACCAGAGAGGTGAGGAGGGAGATGGAGAGGAGGCATGAAGAGGCAAGATGGGAGGAGGGAGGGAAGGGACGATGGAAGAAGAGTCTTGAAAGTGCCTGCATCTCACCTCACATCTCCCTCGTAGTCCTGACTGCCGCCTGGTGGCGCGCAGAAGATGACAAACGGCACGCCGCCCGTGATGGCGTCATCGCTGACGTCACGGAGGATGGGGAAGACCCCCATGGACCTTAGCTGCTCATGGCGTGTGTCTGACCGCGTCTGCCCGTACACCTTCGCCCCTGGGAAGCGCTGGGGTGAAGGGAGAGGTGCACGGTGGAGAGAGGTGTAGAGACGCGAGGGAGGTGGGCGAAGGGAAGACCCCCATGAACCAGAGCTGCTCGTGGCGCGTGTCTGACCGCGTCTGCCCGTACACCTTGGCGCCTGGGTAGCGCTGGAAGGGAGAAAGGAGAGACATGGGCGAGCGGTGGAGAGAGGTGCAGAGAGGTGCAGAGAGGTGCAGAGGGGTGCAGAAAGTTGAGAGAAGAAAAAAATGGGAAAAGGGTGCAGAGAAGAGGAAGGAGAGATCGGAGCAGCTCGTGGCGTGTGCTGGACCGCGTCTTCCCGCACACGTTGGCTTCCTGGGTAGCGCTGGTGGGGAGAGAGAGAGGCGGGAGGTGTAGAGAGGAGAGTGGGGATAGAGAAGAAGAGGGAGAGAGGAGGGAGGAGGAGCAGCTCGTGGCGTGTCTCCGACAGCCTGGGTAGCACTGGGGGAGAGAGGAGTCTCCCTCTCTCGAACGGTCCTTTCATTGATGTAAAAGCTTGAAATACAGACAAGGGCAAGAGGAGTCTCCCTCTCGCCTGCTCTCTCTCACCTGCTGCCATTGCTGCGCCACCATTGATCCCAGCGTGCCGGCGCCCACAATCAGCAAAGTCTTCTCAATCGCATCAACCGATGCCCCATCTGTTGCTGCTGTCACTGCTGACGCTGATGCTGCTGCAGCCATGCCTGCGGGGGAGAGCACGGATGGAATGAAAGCAAAAGGCATTAGAGACAGACATGCCATGCATGTGTTGCGCACAGAAAAGGAACATCGAAAATATGCATAACCAGCCTTCTCTCCTACAGGCCCTCCCCCTCCCCCCCTTTCCCCCCCTCCGCCCCCCCAACTCGCCTCCTTCTCATCTTCCCGCGCTTCCCCATACCTCCCCCTCCCCCTCATCTTCTCCTAAGGGAGCCCCGCCTTTCCCCCACCCCACCTCCCGCGCCTGCCTGCGCGCAACCGCTTCCTTGCAGCGACGCCAGCGGCAGCAGCGCGGACGTAAGCAGCAGCTTCCGCCGAAGGGGGGAGGGGAGCGGGGAGTCGGGGGATAGTGCTGATGATGGGGCAGCGGGGGGAGATGACGAGACGGTCGTACCCGATTTCTTGGATGGCGGTGCGGCTGACGTGGACCTTTGCTGCGAGTATGCCACACGGGTAGCAAATGGACGGATGGACGGGTGAATGGGTGGACGGGTGGACGGGTGGACGGGTGGAGAGAGACAAGATGCAACTAGCATCCATCCAGACGCGAATTCGTTCTGAATGTGAAGTGATATCTATCATGCACGGACGAGGGGTCTATCGCACAGCGAAGGGGCATTGATCCTAAATCGACGGGACATCTTTCACGAGCCGAAGGAACGTCGATCATGAATACCAAGGAGCATCTATCAGTGTTCCGTCTGTTCTCATGGCCCGGAATTTCCGTCATCCACTCACTCGTGACGAGGCACCGACGACACGTTGGGATTCACAACTCCAAGCTTGCAGGCCCAGCGATGCCGGACGGACAGAAATTCCGGCGAGACCTCGCCTGGCACAGGCAGGCAGGCAGGCACAGAGCAGCGCGGGTGACATATGTCAGCGAATCAACGCAGGGTTAACGGGATTAAGATGTCATACAGATGATGGCCGTTTCAAATGACGCGTGCTGATGCAAACAAGGGAGTAACGCAGCTCGACGGCTCCGAAGTCGCGCCGACGGAGTCTCAGCTCCGTTACCGTTACCGTTACCTCACCTGAGATCCTTGCCGAGGAAAGCGCTCTGGAAAAGGGCAGCAGGGGCCAAGGCCGATGCCATTAGGGGCGAGGTTATGGACATCAATCGGAATAGCGAAAATGCGAGGGCGAGCAGCAACTGCCTAAGGAGCAACTGCAATGCAGGAGGATGAATGAGTGCACAATGGTGAAGAATGATGAATTTGTTCAACGTTGGGAGGCACTCAACTCAATGTGGATGGGGAAGACCACCTTGAGAAAATCGAACTTGCGCGTTTGTGAAGTACGCAGTCTTCGAGTGATAAGTTGCGACGGACTGTACACTAATGTGCATTGGCTTATACGGAAAGAAAGTGCACTTTTGGAGATTCTTGCTTTGGCGAGCTGTGTGATTCTGTGCCAGCGTGGAGGGGAAGTGTTCCAAAGCGAATCGCCCTGGAAACATCTCCAGGTATGATTTTCCGCCACGTCGGACAACTCGGATTTCACTGCCCTTATTGAATCCAACCCTGTCCAACCAGAACCCAGCAGGTTCCCTTTTCGCCTGCTGCAGTAACCAGACTCTCCATCCACCCTGCGCCTTTTCTCACAAATTGCCATTGTTGATCCCAGTTTCAAATTTGCCTCTCTGTGAACGACGTAACTTAGCTCCAGGTTTCGTAGATTGTAACTGGCAGTTGTCTACAATCTTCACTGCTCGTTGCTCGCCTTGGACGTACGATCTTTCCCGTCAGACACTGCACTCTCGGCTGTTTGTTGGGACTGTCAGAATGGCGGCGCTAGCTAGCGGCTCGTCTTTGGTCGTTCCTACTGGGTGCACAGCCGCAGGAAAATCCTCCCTCTCGTGCGCATCGTCAAGCGTTTATGGCCTTCCTGCCCTCCAGATTCGTTCTAGACGTCCCTCGGCTAACGCATCGAGCCGCAGCTTTCAGAGAAAAGTACGTCTTAATTGGCAAAGCTTGGCCTCGAAGGGATATTTTTGTGGAGTGGCTAGATCGTGTCGGTCAACTTTGCGATGTTGATTCAATCACACCCCCTCCGGAATTTGCGTTTTACGTTTCTGATTTTCTGCACAGAATCTGCAGATTATGGCAGCAACCGATTTGAAAGAGGAAATGGTGGAGTTTGCGAATGCTGAGAAACGGTGGAGGACTCAGGTTCGTGTCCATCAACCTTTTCCGGATGTCTGTCTTCTTTATATCTAGGAAAAACAAAAACTAAGACTTCTGTTTCTGCAGATTGCAGAGGGCAAGGTGAAGTCACTGTCCGCGAAGGAAGCGGGGTACACTTACCAGCTGTCCGACTACGTTCTGCTTGACGTGCGACCGTCGTATCAGCACAACAAGGTCGGTTGGGTTGCAATTCGTCGGTTCTCTTTGCTGACAACCTCGCGTACCGTAGCGTAGTAAACTGGAAAGCTACTTTTGCAATTCCAGGTCGTTCCTCCGCTTTGCCAACCCGCTGTCGATTTCATCGGTTTCAGGCTTGGGTGAAGGGCTCGCTGTGGATTCCTGCCTTCGACGTCGACAACAGTGCCAGCCCAGGGGTCTTGTCCCAGAAAGCCATGACCTTCATGATGGGTGAGTGCCTTGGGGAATCCAGTTTTTGTTAGGAGGAATACATGATTCCAGGCCTTCTCGATTGATTCTTACAATGAAAGCGAGTTGTATACTTCCGCAATACTGAACGCACAAATCTGAGTTGGATTACCTTCACCTTGTACCAGAGGAATCAGACGAATCGTTGCTGTGGTTGACATGTCACATACGCTCAATTCTTATAGTACACTTCGCCATCTTCTGTCACTCTTTTGTGCCATTTCAGGAGGATGGTGGTCTGGAGCGTCAGTAAACAAGAGAAACGAGTAAGTCTCTTACGAGGAACATCCTTAACCCTAGTTGGTAAAGAATCAGTGACATCCGTAGCCTTGCCTGTAAAACTCTGATTGCCAGTTCCTTCCCAACCCTCCTCGCTTCCTGTTTCTTTTCTGTTAAAGGGGGTTCTTTCTGTAGCTTTATATGACAGCATTTTGTTCTTTTTTTGCAGGCGGTTCATGGCTGACGTTGTGGCTAAAATTCCCAAGAGTGCCAACATTATTGTTGCGTGCCAGAAGGGTTTGAGGTAGGCACTTCCTTATTCCAGAGTCAGGCTCAGTGTGTATTCCACGTTCTTTTGCTGTAACTGCCCTTAACCAACACTATGAACTCTCTGTGCTGCAATGTCTTGCAGATCTCTTGCAGCATGTGAGCACCTTTACAAGGCTGGCTATAGAAATATATATTGGCTAACTGGTGGCTTCGACACTGCCAGTGACGAGGTACTTGCCATAAGTTTTCCATTTTGACATCCCTGTTAGTGCCACCCTCTGCTATTTCCATGTATCTCCTTTCCATATGCCTGCTTCACATTTTTTACGTGCAGACAGGTTCGATGGTGCAATGCCTTTCAGATCATTAGATTGTTGTGATAACCTGCTGAGTTGCACTGTGGCGGCTTGGGTTATTACAGGACTTCGAGCGGGAGGGTCCTGTTCCCCTTCAGCTGGCGGGCATTGGAGGCATGTCTGAGTTCATTGGGTACGTATATTCTGTAGGAAATGTTGTTTCAGCATTTTGACGGAAGCCCTGACTTATATTTTCTTGGTTTCGCTTTGTGCAGATGGACCGATCCTCAACGCCGCCTTGCCAAAACTGAGGGATGGCAGTACCGTGCCACCTTTTTCGGCCGACTGGTATGTTAGTAACTCTTATGGTTCATCACAAGTTGTATTCACAACGTTGAATTTCGGTTATCTAATGGTATCCTTGTATGTGCCTTGTTTCAGCTTGTGGTATTTTTGGCTGCGGACCTTGCTCTTATTGGGTTGCAGCAACTCAGCTCTTTTTTCCGTGAGCTTGGCCAATAAGTGATGTGACTTGCTTCTTGTAGTCATCGATATCTATGTTTCGCATGCTAATCTACACTTCTCGCTTCTTGTACATTAAAGCCGCGGTGCAACTTCTTAGGAACAGTAGCATGACAAAAACTGCTTGTGTGTAATTGGACTTCTATTGGTCGAAAAAACTCGAGTTTCGTAACAAGACAAACCTCTCGCCTGTGAACTGCCTAGGTCAACCTCTTCCAAGCTATAATACTTTGAAGTTGAACTTGATAGTTGCACCGCGGCTTTAAAGCCGCGGTGCAACTATCTTAGGAACAGTGACAAGCCGGGTTTTGTCTTGTTCCGTACTGGTAGTCAATTGGCTAGCGAGTGTGTAAGTTGTGTTGCGATGAAAACATCCAAGGCGAATGTCGCGAACCTCGAAAGGAAAAGTGGGGGGGAAGGGGTGGGGGGAAGGGAAGGGGGGAACACACACGAAACGGGAAATGGGACCACATCAACACCCCCATACTCCCTTTCGCTGATTGTTCTGCCAATAACACCTCCACATTGCAAAACGATAAACCTTATGTTTCATAAAAACTTTGCAAAATACATATTTCACTTACAAGGTTTATTTTGGTTTATTTATCCATCCATTTGCAAGAGTATTATTTCTAATGGGGAGAAAGAACATCAACTGTACAGACATGCAAGACTTGGAATGTCATATTGAAATCCTTATCATGCAAAGGATCGCAAGCAAACAACATGGCATAATCCAAGGAGAGCCGATTTTTACACTCCGATCCACTATTGGTGCAGCTGTCCATTTACAGGGAGGAGGGGGGAGGGGAAAAGGGGAAGGAAACGTTGCGCATTGTTGAAAAATGTTAGGTAGGGAAATTGAAGAGAGCATGGAAACTGAGATATGATAGACAGCCTTCAGTGGCCAAGCAAAGCTGGTACTGTTGGCTGAATTGAACGAGAGAACGTAGTGGAAAGGGAAGGGACGGTAGTGGGGGAAGGCGAGGGGCAGGGGAGGGGGGAAAGGGATGGCTGAGAGAAGCGTGAATGGTGGGAGAGGACAGTAGGAAAGGGAAGGGATGTGAGAGAGGGGGAGGAAAGGTGGGAGGGAAGGACAGGGGGAAAGGGAGAGAAGGACAGGGGGAAAGGGAGAGAAGGACAGGGGGAAATGGAGAGGAGGACTGGGGGAAAGGGAGAGGAGGACAGGGGGAAAGGGAGAGGATGACAGGGGGAAAGGGAGAGGAGGACAGGGGGAAAGGGAGAGAAGGACAGGGGGAAATGGAGAGGAGGACAAGGGGAAATGGAGAGGACAAGGGGAAAGGGAGAGAAGGACAGGGGGAAAGGGAGAGGAGGACAGGGGGAAAGGGAGAGGAGGACAGGGGGAAAGGGAGAGGAGGACAGGGGGAAAGGGAGAGGAGGACAGGGGGAAATGGAGAGGAGGACAGGGGGAAAGGGAGAGGAGGATAGGGGGAAAGGGAGAGGAGGACAGGGGGAAAGGGAGAGGAGGACAGGGGGAAAGGGAGAGGAGGACAGGGGGAAAGGGAGAGGAGGACAGGGGGAAAGGGAGAGGAGGACAGGGGGAAAGGGAGAGGAGGACAGGGGGAAAGGGAGAGGAGGACAGGGGGAAAGGGAGAGGAAAACAGGGAGGGCACTGCCCAAGAGAAGTTGATGCTGAGGACCGGGCAATGGATCGGAAAGGGGGAGGCATTGGAGAGGAATAAATATGGAGGGGGACGCGAGATGCTTCGCCACCGTCGCACAGATGCTTCGCCCCGCTGCTCGCTATCGTCGCCCTGGTGCTTGCTATCGTCGCCCTGGAGCTCGCTATCGTCGCCCTGGTTGTCGCTATCGTCGCCTTGATGCTCGCTATCGTCGCCCTGGAGCTCGCTATCGTCGCCCTGGTGCTCGCTATCGTCGCCCTGCTGCTCGATATCGTCACCCCGCTGCTCATATCGTCGCCCCGCTGCTCGCTATCGTCGCCGCACCGCTCGCTATCGTCGCCCCGCTGCTCGCCACCGTCGCACCCATTCCTGCCTGTCGCTACCGTTGCGCCTTTGCTACCGCAGATACGTGAGGAATGGAGGGGCGGGAGAGGAATAAGGACGGCAACGGAGGAAAACGAGCGCAATGCGCTTCGAATACGACAAAAAGGTGTTTACGAGGTAGGAAATTGCGCAGATATTCGTGAGCACATCAATAGACCATGAAACGCGAGAAATCTTAGCGGAAATGGCTCTGCGTAGCTCGGAAAACGCACTTCAAGTTAGTAAGAACCTAGTTCAAGCGTGAGAGTTTGCCGAGTTTGAGTTGTTTTGAGTTCAAGTTTGAATTTTCAAGTTTGCTGCATGCGCTCCCCCTCAACTCGTTGAGCGGAGCTTTTCCCCGAGCCCTCCCCCGTTTCCCCCCCACACACATCATACTGCGAAGGACTTTTCCGCACGCCCTTCCCCCGCTGGCAGAAACCTCTCCCTGCTCGCTTTCCTGTGTATACTGGGTTACGCGGCTTTCAAACTATAATAGTTTGAACTGGAGCCCGGATATCTGCACCGCGGCTTTAAGCTTTGAGCGAGCTTGTACTGTAGAACTTGAGGTTCCAAGATTTAGTGTGATGCAACCGATAGGCAAAGGCGAACTCGATTCCTGCAAGGAAATCTCTTCGCGGATGCCGTGCAAATTCGATTCTGTAAATCACCAACAGTTCGTTCGCATCACCTGGACGCGTCTCTAACACCTGTGAACTGTAGTTGCGGGAAGAAGCTTTCGAGGTCATGTCAACCACACATGGAGATCAACCCCGCAAAAGTGACCACTGAGGAGAAACTACACCTAGTCACCACTATTTCATTCCCTGAAGGTTTCCCCAAAGCGACACCCAACACGTTTTTCGGCTTGATCAACCAGACACCCAGAAGCTGGAGGCTATGAATGGTGATGTAATGCGTCGATATCGAAAGACTCCCATCGAGGGAAATCAGGAACGCTTCTAAGAATTCGAAGCCATCCTAAACGGCTCTCAGTTGAGCAAGCCTCTTCAAACAACCAAGGGTTCCTCTCCATGGGCGTGAAAATACTGTTGTGGCATGATTCTATTGCCTGTTTCCGCGTCAAGATGATCACACAGAACGAAAATCTGGGTCTTCGGATTCCAGTTGCTCAATTGCCAGATTGACTGGAAGAGAACGCGTTTAGGAATGCCAACATCACCCATCATCACTGCTCCCATCATCACATCACACGATTCACTCATCACCATTCGATTCCGGCAATCCCCGAGACAGCCCACACCAGCAGAGAAAAGAATCCGCGAGGGCCCAAGCGCTGATCCCCAGGTGCTTCTCTCAACCAAGGCTGCCTAAACGAAGCCAAGTTTAGGCAGAGCAGAACCTCCACACGATTCAGAGCAGCTTTTCTTGTTCCTGCTTTTTTCCAGGCGCAACCTATCACTGAACATCTCCGTCTAGCGTTTCTGAGCGTTTCTGATGTGACAATCCTCGCTAGGTCCTAGATGGATTCTCATTGATCCCTTTTCCTCTGCTCCGTGGCTTATTTATCGAACCCTCTGGTTCAATGTCGATCTCGCAATCTGGTTCTACATTGCTTGCATCCGTTAGTCTGGTATGCCTCCCTCCCTATTCCTTTTCTCAACAGTGTGACATGATATGCTAGAAAGCACGTGTCATTACCAGGTTGACATGTGTCACTCCCGTCGCGATTGCGGCTCGTGACGTGGGCAATAGTTGATTATGCGCACACAACTGGTCTCACGAGCAAATTCTTTCCCAGGCCCTTCGATTGGACAACTAATGAGTGCCGTATCTCACGCCTAGAGCAATCGTCAGAAGGTGGTCGTCTTAGCAGCTAACTTGAGAGCCGTTTTCTGGAGATCGCTTTCAAGGCGTGATAGTAGAACTTCGCGAACTCACAGCACTAGTACCACCCGCCGCTGCGACTCTTGACCGCAGTAGCCATCCAAGTACCGCGAAGCTACTCCTAGGGTTCATTTTCTGAGCGTTAAGAACCTACACGACCGACATCGTTACTAATACAGTACTACTAGCTGAAAGAATGTCCGGAGGCCCAGCTGGCGGCATGGGAGGGGGAGGGACGAGCAGGGACGGCGCGCAGATGCACCCCGACATGGCGTTCGAATGGGGCTACTCGCCTCGAGGTACGCCTCCGGCGTCCCGCGCCTCGAGACTGCGCCAGGGACTTTGCAGGCGTCCGAACTTCGTGATCCTGCTGCCGGTGGCGTTTTTACGGCAACAATTTCGAGGAACGCCTAGATTTACTGCTGTTCCCTTGCCAATAATGCGTAGGCTTCATTCTCCTCAACTCATTCTCTAGTGTTCTGCTCCTCATGAGAAAGATCCCTCCTCTCTCCTTTCCTCAGTGCGTTCTGTTCTGTTTTCATTCCATTCCCCCCTTCCCCCCCGATCTTCAGCCTTGCACTAGCTGTCACGCATTACTTTCTTGGCTTTCCAACTTATAGTCTCGGTCGTTCTGCTCCGTTCTCCCCACCCCCCTCCGCCCCCCACACCTCCTCCCCAACCCCCACTCTCCTCTCCCCGCCCCGCACGCGGCGACATGCAGCCGTGCACTCACCATCACGCTTCAGCCGCGACGAGGAGGCGAACCCTAATCGGACAAAGAGCAACCTCAGCCAGCAGCGCACGCTCAGTCTCAGCGCCGCGCGCCTCAGTCAAGCCGCAGCGGACCTCGGATTCCACGTCACCCCTCCCCCGTACCCCTCCGCTTCCGCCAATGCGCCACCCGCGGCGCAAGCAGGAGCGTTCCCGGGCTTTTCTCCCGCCGCTGTTGCGGCGGCTGCTGCTGCGCTAGCAGCAGGCGGGGATGCTGGCGCGGGGGGAGGTCTAGGGGGAGGTATACCTGGGGGAGGAATATCTGGGGGAGGTCTCGTTCTGGGGGGGTCGGGACTGACAGGGTGGTCAGGAGGGGTAGCAGGTGCTGGTGGCGTGGGTAACTTACAATCGCTTACAGTGGATCCGTCTAAAGCGGGGATATCCGCTCGTGGAGCAGGGGGGCACGGCGTGCCTCCGCTGCCCCTGCCGTCCCCGAAAGGAAACGCCGCCGCTGCTGCTGCCGTCGCCAACGCTGCCGCGGGCAAGCTGGGCAGCCCGAGAGGAAACTTTTCCGGGTCGCGGGCAGCCGCGCTGGGGCATTTGCCGAGAGCCGGTCTGCCCGCGAGCATTCAGCAGCAGCTGATGTTGGGGGCTATGGGGGGAGGGGCAGGTGCAGCGGGATTCGCAGGGCTGGGGGGAATGCAGGGCGGCTTTGCTGGCGGTGGGGGCGGCATGGGGGCATTGGGGAACGTAGGGGGAGCGGGGATGGCGGGAATGGGCGGAATGGCGGGAATGGGGGGGATGGCTGGTCTCGCTGCGCTGAATAGCAGCAGTGACGGCAGCGGCAGTGGCGGCGGCAGTGGGAGCGGAATACCCGGTATGAACCTGCAGACACAGTTGAGCCTGCTAGCCGCCCAGCTAGACGGCCGTTTAGACGACAACAACCCCCTCTCGCGGACCAGCAGCGCGCCGCCACTTGGCGCGCTTCTCGCCAGCATCGGTGACGTGGCAGAGCTGGAGCGGCTGTACCGATTGCTCCCCGATGCCATGTCACCAGACGTCTCCCCGCACGTGGGGCTCAGTCTGCCGTACCAGAGCGCCATAGCCGCGGCGTCAGGCTCGGCAACAAGCTCGGCAGTAGGCTCGGTGGCGACGAGTCCGGACCGGGAGCTGCACATGCATCGGCTGCTAGGGAGCATGGGGAGCGGTAGTATGGGTAGCATGGGGAGTGGGAGCATGGGCAGTGGCGGCAGCATGGCAGGGTATTTATCGTCAACAGTACCATCAATGGCGGCTTTAGTAAGGGAGCGGACGAAGCTCTCCCGCACTAGCAGCTGCCCCCCCCCTGTGGCGGAGGACATGAGCGGGGGCGCGGGGGGAAGCGGAATGGAGGGGCGCGGGGGCGAGGGGGAGTCGTCTGAGTCGGAGGGGGAGAGCGGGCAGCATGGGCCGGGCGCGGGGCACAAGAGGAAGAAGCGCCGGGCGCCGGGGGGACTGGGGGCGGGTGCTGACGTGGCTGGAAGGAGCGGCGGAGGCGGCAAGGTACTGGTGGCGCGTTTCATGATTCACTTCAATCAATACCATGTGCCTGCCTCTGCTCGTGCCTGCTGCATCTTGTTGCCTGTCCTTCCAGCTCACCCCTCCGCATCACCTTCTCCCCCCCTCTTCCAGTTCCTTTTCCCGCAGCTCTTTTTTTCCCCCTTATCTCCCACGCGCCCCACCACTCACTGCCTCCCCCCTCCCTCTCATGTCTCTCCTCCCTCGCCCACGTGTGCCTCCCTCCCTTCCCCCATGTCTCCTCCGCGCCACCCTATCCCCCCAAGTGCAGAGGGAACCAGACGACGCGCTGGACGGTGGGGCGCGCCTGGGGGGCCGCGGAGGGGGCGGGGGAGGGGGCGGGGGAGGGGGCGGGAGCGCGGGAAGCGGGGGGAGGGGAAGCGCGGGGGCGTGGGGGGGGAGCCCGGGGGGCGGGTACAGCATGCAGGGCGGGGGGATGGAGGTGGGCGTGCAGGCGGGGGCGATGGACACATCAAGCCAGGACTACATTCACGTGCGGGCAAGGCGAGGCCAGGCCACTGACAGCCACAGCCTTGCGGAAAGGGTGAGTGGCGGCACTTAGGGGGCTTGGAAGGGGGGTTGTGGGGGGCATGCAGGGGGGGGCGATGGAGACATCAAGCCAGGACTACATTCACGTGCGGGCGCGGCGAGGCCAAGCGACTGACAGCCACAGTCTTGCAGAGAGGGTGAGTGGCGGCACTTAGGGGGCTTGGAAGGGGGGATGGAGGTGGGCGTGCAGGGGGGGGCGATGGACACATCAAGCCAGGACTACATTCACGTGCGGGCGCGGCGAGGCCAGGCCACTGACAGCCATAGCCTGGCGGAAAGGGTGAGCGGCGTGACAGTATTGTGAGTGCCCACGTTGGGGGGTTGGGTTGGGTTGGTGGGAGAGTGGGGGGATTTGAAGGACTATCCTCCTCTTTTGTGGGGCAAGGGCATGGCAGGCCGTTGGTTGGCAGCCCCAGCCTGGCAGAGGAGGGCGGGTGTGGCGTCAAGCGGCAATCACGCAAGAATTAGCTGGTTTTGCGCGAGAAGGCGGGTTGGGATAAATAAAGTGTGCTCTGCCATGTACGTAGCTGCTGGGCGCTCTGCTGCTCTGTGTACTGTTGACATACTGTGCTACGCTGAACCCTTGAGGCGATTTTAGAGTGGACTAAGAAGTCGCTCTTGTGCTCTGTGTGCTCTTGACGTGCTGTGCTACCCTGATCCCTTGACGCGCTGCGGTGCTGTCTTTTGAGGCGCCTCACAAGCTGTGCTACCCTGATCCCTTGACGCACTGTGGTGCTGTGCAGGTGCGGCGGGAGAAGATCAGCGATCGAATGAAAGTGCTCCAGAGCCTCGTTCCCACCTGCACCAAGGTACATGCACTTCCCTGTTTCCCTACCTCCAACCCGTGCTCTCTGTTCCACCCTCGTCCCTTTAAAGTGCTACAGAGCCTCGTTCCCACCTGCACCAAGGTGAGCGCACTCCCCTTATTTCTCCATCTCCAACCCGTGCTCTCTTTTCCAACCCTGCCCCTCGCAATGCGCAATCGAATATGCCACGAAACAGTGCCTCAGCAATGAATCATTGCCTTCCCGTTTAATGTCCCAGTGTATCCGTACTCTCTCCCTCGTCCCTTGCTCATTCCCCTCTTTCCGATGTATGCATGGTGCCTTGCTTGGTCTCGTGCATGACATGGCATGGCATGGAATGGCATGGCATGGCATGGCATATATGGCCCCAGGCGACGGGCAAGGCAGTGATGCTGGACGAAATCATCAACTATGTGCGCTCGCTGCAGCTGCAGGTCGAGGTGAGTGCTTTCTTTTGAAAAGTCTCAGAAGTGACTCAGGTATAGCCGGCTTCGAATTCCCTAGGCTTCTGAGAATTCTCCAAAGGGGCAAGGCAGTGATGCTGGATGAGATCATCAACTATGTGCGCTCGCTGCAGCTGCAGGTCGAGGTGAGTGGGTGAGTGCTCACCGCTGCTCAGGAGACTTAGACGATTGATGTGAGTGTGAGTGTGAGTGTCCAAGGACTAGGTGGGCTCGCTGCAACTGCAGGTGGAGGTGAGTGCTGAGGCAACTTGCAACAGCCATGGGAGCGTGAGTGTTGAAGCAACTGCTTACAATCGCTGTAGCTGCAGGTCGGAGCGAGGTCCCCTTCTCATTCTCCCCTTCCTTTTCAGCCCCTTCCTCCTCCTTCCTTTTGCACCGCTCCCCTCCTGCCCAACTCAAGGAGATTTTTCATGCTGATACATCTTGCGCACTTGACTTCCCACTCAACTCCGCCACCCCACACTCTTTTCGTTCTCTCCCCCTCTTCTCCACTCCTCCCTTCCCAAACCCACCTTTTTCTCCTTCAGCCAACCTCACCCCTCGTTTCTACCAACCGCCTCCGGTTTGTTTCTGCCTCCTTCCTCCCTTTTCTGTTCTCCCAACCCACCACCTTCCCCGTCACCCCCCAGCTTCTATCGGCCAAGCTAGCAGCAATAGAGCAGGACACAGCAGAGATGGACGGCTCAGATTCACCCGCCGACTTTTGTGCGGCTCAGATGGCAGCACTGGGAGGGCTGCTAGTCCCCTGCGCCCCTGCTACTGCCTCTGCTGGTACTGGAGCAGGGGCAGGAGCGACAGGTGGTGGTGGAAATGCTGGTGCTGCGGGTGGCGGTGCCGCTGCTGGTGGTGCTTCTGCTGGCGCTGGTGGTTCCGGTGGCTCTGCTGGTGCTGCTGCTACTGGTGGTGCTGCTGCGGCTGCCCTTGGCGGGGGATCGTTCCGGCAGCCATCTCCGTCGTGCTCTCAGTCTCACGACTGGTCAACCACTGATGTGAGCTCCACCGCCTTTTGAGTCGACTCAGAAACCACCTTTTGAGTTGTCTATAACAAAATCTCTGCCCTGCTCTCAGTTTCACGACTCACGACTGGTCAACCACTGATGTGATGTAAGCTCCACCGCCTGCTGATGCTATCTCGAACGCCTGCCGATGTCAGCTCGGACCCTTGCAGGGCGCTCCTTCCCAATCCCATGTTAGCCCCTACATGTTCCCGCCTCCGTTCCCCCCACCCGCTTCTTCAACCCTCCTCCGCTGCCTCCCCATCCCTGCACTTCCCCTTCCCTCGCCGCCTCTCTGCGTTCTTTCCCTCTCCATCTTCCCCTCCTCCCCGCCCTGTCTCCCAGTCGGCCCATCACAGCACAGCGTCCCCCATGGCTACGCCATCACCATCAGTGCCAGCATCAGCAGCACTGGGAGCAGAGTATTGAGCTGACTCAACAATCCCCTCCCGCTCTCCCCTCTTGCTTCCTCTGTCTCCCAGTCCGCCCATCACAGCACAGTATCCCCCATTGCCACGCCACCACCAGCAGCACCACTGGGAGCAGCGGCCGCCCTGCACCCGGACATGGCCTCCCTCCCCACCGACCTCGCCCGCCTCCTCCTCTCCCGCTATTTGCGGCACCCCCCTTTTTGAGGCTGAGTTGACTAAGTAATCCTCTCCCCTTCTCCCCTCCCCCCCCCCTGCCTTCCCAGTCGGCCCATCACAGCACTGCCTCTCCCTGCGCAACACCATCAACCTCAGCAGCAGCATCACTGGGAGCAGCACCGCTGGGAGCAGCGGCCGCCCTGCACCCGGACATGGCCTCCCTCCCCACTGACCTCGCCCGCCTCCTCCTCTCCCGCTATTTGCCGCACCCGCCTTTTTGAGTGAGCAGATTCTTTTGAGTTGACTAAGTAGTCCTCTCCCCTTCTCCCCTCTCCCCCCCTGCCTTCCCAGTCCGCCCATCACAGCACGGCCTCTCCCTGCGCCACACCGTCAACCTCAGAATCACTGGCAGCACTGGGAGCAGATTATCTGAGTTGACGAAAAGATCCTCTCCCTCTCTCCCTCCTCTCCCCTTATCTCCCAGTCGGCCCATCACAGCACTGCCTCTCCCTGCGCAACACCATCAACCTCAGCAGCAGCATCGCTGGGAGCAGCATCCGCCCTGCACCCGGACATGGCATCCCTCCCCACTGACCTCGCCCGCCTCCTCCTCTCCCGCCACCTGCCCAACTCCCCCTTTGGCGGAACCGCTGGGGGCGCTGGAGGGGGTGCTGGGGGAGGGGTAGGCGGGGGGGAGATGGGGGGAGGCGGAGGGGGGATGGGGGGAGGCGCGGGGGAGGTTGGGGGAGGCGGGGTGGAGGGGCTGGGGGAGCTGACGATGGAGCAGCTGCAGGCTCAGTTGGATGCCATGAATGCGGTAGGTGGAGGGGGAGGGGGAGGGGGAGGGGGAGGGGGAGGGGGAGGGGGGAGGGGGAGGGGGAGGGGGAGGGGGAGGGGGAGGGGGAGGGGGGGGGAGGGAGAGGGGGTGGGTGGGCTGCCGCACATGGGCGTGCAGTGTGAGGTGAGATTTGGGGCATGGTTCAGGTTGGGTTGTGCAGTGGGGTGGGGAATGGATGGTTTCATGGCATGGGTTGGGAGGGGCTGGGGGAGCTGACGATGGAGCAGCTGCAGGCGCAGCTGGATGCCATGAATGCGGTAGGTGGAGGGGGAGGGGGACGGGGACGGGGAGGGTTAGGGGGAGGGGGAGGGGGAGATGGAGGGGGTGGGCTGCCGCACATGGGCGTGCAGTGTGAGGTGAGGTGGGGGGTGTGAGGTGGGGTGGGGCGTGTGAGGTGAGGTGTGGAGTGTGAGGTGGGGCGTGTGGGGTGGGGCGTGGAATGTGAGGTGAGGTGGGGCAGTGGGCGCACGGCTCAGGTTGAACTGCCTGTATCGTGAATCCTATCATGCACTGCTTGCTCCTCCTCCTCCTCCTCATCGCATCCCCATCTTCCTTCTCCCTCCGTGCACCTCTGACTTCAATCGCCTCAAAAGCCGACCCAGAATTCATGCGTTGAGAATTGAAATACGGTATGAGCCGAATGTCACGGATCTCCATTCAAACGTGTCCCCTATCCTCTCCTGCTCTTTCCCCTCCCCTCTCCCCCCATGCTCCTCCCACCTCCCCCAATGCTCCTCCCACCTCCCCCAATGCTCCTCCCACCTATCCGCTGGCAGTGGGATGGTGGGCTTGAGAGCAGAGTGGCAGCAGCAGCAGCAATGTGACTCTGCTCTCAAGCAGCAGCAGCAATGTGACTTTTCAGTCGACTCAAAAGCCCCCCCCGTGACCCCCCGTGCTCCTCCTACTGTGCAGTGGGATGGTGGGCTTGAGAGCATAGTGGCAGCAGCGGCAGCCATGCCGCCTTCCCAGCAGGCCCAGTCAGTCTCAGGCACCAGTCACTCCGCCAATAACCGTCCTGCGTCAGGTACGCCGTGCTATGCTGCTGTCCGTATCAGGTGCATCAGCTAAACCGTACGAAACCACCTCCCACCGCATGATAATCATCTCCCGAACGCCTCTTAGAAACCACCTTCTTCTGCTCACTCACTCAACTTCATATCCTGCTGCTCTCCCTGCTCGCCCTGCTCGCCCTGCTCGCCTCTGTCTCCTTCCATCTATTTGTCCCTCCCTGCTGCAGGATCACCCTCCTTGTCCCAGCAGTCGGGTGCGAGGCACTGAACCACACCATGCATTCTTCCATTCCAAGCACACCATCCATTTATTTATTTCAAACCCGCTGCATTGAAGGTGAAAACGCTTCGCACCCCGACTACACTTCATGCTGAAAATCTGCCCGAGAGATTTGGCAGAGTTGTGGGATTTAGGGATACTCGTTTGATGTGGTTCTTGCCTGAAAAGGTGTACCTTTGGCTTGCAAATTGCAGGCTAGTGCATAAGTAGAAAGCTTAGGTAGTGGATTTTATATTGTGTTAATAGGTGTAGTTCCTCCTTTCAAAATGTAGTCGTTCGAGCCACTCGATAGTGCGGCATGTGACGCGTGTTGTTGAAAGCGCACTCGGCGGCATGCGGCGCGAGCCGCGCATTAGCTCCTCAAAAAGTCGCGATCGCCACCGCCATTGCCATTTCCTCTCCTCCCCGACTCCGCCATTAGTTCCATTGAATGCCAGCTGCGGCTCGAATGAGTGTCGTGCGATGTGTGTTTCCGCGCCCCATGCGCCGACCCATACAAGCATCATGTCATCTCATCTCTCTCACACTCGTTCACCATTGGATGAATCCGCTCCTTCAAGCCAGAAGCTACGCTTTTCACCTCTGTCCGTTCGTTTATGGCGTGGTAGTCACATCAGATCGTTCTTCGTTTCACCGTTAGCTCAACTAGTTTTCTCTTCGCATTCTACCAAAGGCAGCTCCTTCTACTCTTCACCTCGGTCTGCTAGTATCAGCATGGAGTAGTAATTTCAAGTCGTGCGGAATTTCTGAATCCCGCGAAAGAAAGCACTCAGCTCAGCACGTTATCTTCTCGACCCTTATAAGGGGCTATAGCCAGCGGGCGGCAGCATCCTGAGGATGGAGTCATACCAGGCCATGACCGATTCTCTCCGCGCCCACCTCTCCGCGCTTCACGGCGAGGCGCGCCGACGGCTCCCCGCGGCCCTGGCGAGCGCGCAGGTCGCTTCTGTGTGTTTTGCTGCCGTGCTGGTGCTTGTGCTGATGCCCCTGGGGCTGTGGATCGGACGGCTGGGAATGGGTGTCAAGATGATCTACGGTTTTGTGTTGGGAATTGCGTGCTCGCTACTGTACTCTTCGCTTGCAATGCGGAATGCGCGGCAGAGAGAAAGGAAGGTACGATGCGAGTGGTTCGGGATTACGTTAGAGATGGGAGGGGAAAAGTACAGTAAAGTTGCGCATCTACCTCTTTGTTTTAAATGAAGTGTAACAGTATAAAATTGTCTTAACTGCACTTTGAGGCTTTCACAACAGGTGCGCATGATTGTAATTCTGCCATTTCATTTCGAATTCCAATGAGCAGGCCCTTGTGTTGCGACGGATGGACTGGGAAATGTCAGTGGACGAGATTCTCCGACTGGCCGGGTTCAGCGAGGGCAATTGCACATCGTCATGCCACAAGCTCCATACCTTTCAGGTAATGCTTGGTTGGAGTCAAGAGAAATTCCGCTTGATGGCGCTCATTACGGTACCTATGCGTATTTCAGTGCATATTGATTTTCTAGGTGCCTAAAAACATTCTGGCCATTTTATTCAGGGATGCTCATTGCTTGTGCATTCTTGGGTGCATGTGGAGTGACTTTGTGGCAGCTGGCATGGGTGAACGCAGCAGTGCGGCAGATTTGGCCAGAGCTGCGCAAAGCGAGCACGGAGATGCTGAGGAGCAGCCTGAGGGGGCTGTTTGAGGGGTACCATTTTGGCGTCATCACGGGAATTGATGTGCGATCCGTGGACCTGGGACCCGACCCCCCCACCATCACCGGTGCGTGCTGTAGCGTCTGTTGGTAGTGTGTAGGTCCTGACTGGACATGCTGCATGGCAGCCTGAGGGGGCTGTTCGAGGGGTACCACTTCGGTGTCATCACCGGCATCGACGTGCGGTCTTTGGACCTGGGACCCGACCCCCCTATCATCACTGGTGCGTGCTGTCACCGCCCACGGTGGTGTTGGTGCGTGTCGTGTGTAGGTCCTGACCGGAAATGCTGAAGAGCAGCCTGAGAGGGCTGTTTGAGGGGCACCACTTCGGTGTCATCACCGGCATCGTCGTGTGGTCCGTGGATCTGGGACCTGACCCCCCTACTATCACTGGTGCGTGTTGTGCTTCGTGATGGAGTGGTGTGTAGGTCCTGACTGGATATGCTGCGTGGCAACCTGAGGGGGCTGTTTGAGGGGCACCACATTGGCATCATCACCGGTCTGTTGACCTGGGACCTGACCCGCCCACCATCACACGTGCGTGCTGTGCTGTGGTCTGTGGACCTGAAACCTGACCCGCCCACCATCACACGTGCGTGTGAGCTGACCCCCCCCCCCACCGCTAGTGGTGCGTGCTGTGGTGTGGTGCAGATAAGCTCACCTGATCTTGATCCGCCTTGTTTTGCACCCCATATGCTGAGTCGGTGGTGCAACACACATCCCCATAGTTCCTTCCCTACACACTTACAAGCTCTCATGTATATGCATTCATAAGTTCCGTGGATGTGGAAATGTCATTACTAAGCCCGTTTTCCTCCCTTCCCAACCACTCTCCCTCAGCTGTGAGAGTGCGCAGGGGAGGGGCAGACAATGGGGGCGCGCAGAGGGATGAATCCTCCTCCGCGCAGGGGGGTACGGGGAGAGGCGGAGGAGAGGGGGAGGAGGGAGTGGTAACGGTGGCAGAGGCGAAGGAACAGGCGGAGAGGCGGATTCGTGGTGGTGCAGAGGCGCAGGTGATGGGGGAGGGGCAGGGGGAGAGGATGGGGCAGGGGGAGGAGCATAGGGAGAGGAAGGGGGAAGTGGAGGGGGAGGGGCAGTGTATGGGGGAAGGGCAGGGGAAGGGAGAAGGAGAGGGAGAGGGAGAGGGAGAGGCGAAGGAGCAAGGGCAAGGGGGCGACGGAGAAGGTGAGGGGGAGGGGGGAGGAGCAGCAGACAAGGGAGCAGCAGAGGACGGAGTAGCAGACGAGGTGATAGCAGAGGTGGCAGTGGAGTGGGTGGAGGGGCGAGTGCAGCAACGCAGCATGAGGCTGCGAGTGCAGACGGCCATGAGTCCAGATGTGGACGTGCAAGTGAACAGCATCGCTGCTGCTGCCACGCTCAAGCTCACCCTCACGCCGCTGCTGCCCCGCCTCCCTGGGTTCGGCGCCGTGCTGCTCTCGCTGCTCAACCAGGTGTGCTTGAGATGTTGTTGTTGTTGTTGATGTTTGTTTGTTTGTTTGTTTGTTTGTTTTTTATTTTATTTAAAGAGGCTCCTCGAAAATGCTGATGTCGTTGCTTAACCACTTGAGTTGGAACTGCTTTGTAGCAGAACTCTTAAAGCCAATTCCGATGTACACTGCATGCACTGCATGCTCCCAGCCCTTCTCTCAGCCACTTTCACTTCCTCTACCTCCACCTGCATTCCACCCTCCGCCCTCTTGCCCTTCCCCCACTGCTCCCCCTTGCAGCCTTTTTTTGACTTCAAGGTGTCCGTGATGGGAGGTAATCTCAAGGCCATGCCAGGATTTGAAAAGATGATCGAGGTAATATGCGCGCTCTTGCTCACACATGCCCTCACCGCCTCTCACATGCCCTCACCCCCTCTCACATGCCCTCATTTCTTAAGTCGTGAACGCCTCCTGCTGCTTTGCCAGACAACCCTGACCATACCTCACTCCCTCCCACCCCACTCCATCCCTTCCACCTTCCCATCCCTCCCACCCTCCCTCCCCAGCCCATGCATCTCACTGCATCCCTATCTTCCCCGCCCCATCCTGCCCCCCACCTCCCTCGCCCCCCCCTGCGCACAGACGGTGCTGCGGCTGTCGGTAGACGATTCCCTCGTGTGGCCCTCGCGTTGGGTGTACCCTGTCGTCGAGGGTGACTTCAGGTAATACCCTGTCGTGGAGGGTGACTTCGGGTAGTACCCTGTCATGGAGGGTGACTTCAGGTAGTACCCTGTCATGTAGGGTGACTTCAGGTAGTACCCTGTCATGTAGGGTGAATCCAGGGAACGCCCTGTCATGGAGGGTGATTGTAGGTAATACCCTGTCATGGAGGGTGACGTCAGGTAGTACCCTGTCATGGAGGATAAGTCCAACATATAACCCCGTGATGGAGGTTGAGTTCAGTTTATGCCTCATGGAAATTGACTTCAAGTAATGCCCTGTCATGGAGTGGGGGCTTCAGTTAACGCCCTGTCATGTCCAAGGTAAATCTCCTTTACTCCCCCCTGCCCCCATTCTTCCAGTTTCCTGGAGCTCACACCAGTGGGGTACCTAGACGTGTCACTGATAGAGGCGGAGGGTTTACCCAAGGCAGACGTGCTGACCCGTTTCCATCTCACACACACATCCCCCTTCCCCTCTCCCTCCCCCTCTCCCACAGTTACCTGGAGCTCACCTCAGTGGGGTACCTAGACGTGTCACTGATAGAGGCGGAGGGGCTCCCCAAGACAGATGTGCTGACAGGAGCCGCTGACCCGTTTGCACCACACACACATACCCTTGTGTACCTCTGGTCCCCCCTCTACCCAACCCCCCCCCCAACCCCCTCTCGTCCAGTTTCCTGGAGCTCACACCAGTTGGCTACCTGGACATGTCGTTGATAGAGGCGGAAGGTCTCCCCAAGACGGACGTGCTGACTGGGGCGGCTGACCTGTTTGCACCACACACACATCCTCTTTTTTCCTTCTCCTCCTCCTTTCGCCTCCCTTCCCGCCCCCACTCCCACAGTTTCCTGGACGTGACACTGATAGAGGCGGAGGGGCTCCCCAAGACGGACGTGCTGACAGGAGCTGCAGTCTCCTTCGCGACACACAACCTTGGTTCCCCCCCTATCCTCCCGCACCCCTTCATCCCCCCTGCTCCCCACTCCCACAGTTACCTGGAGCTCACACCAGTGGGGTACCTAGACGTGTCACTGATAGAGGCGGAGGGGCTCCCCAAGACAGATGTGCTGACAGGGGCTGCTGACCCGTTTGTGCTGCTGTACGTGCGGCAGAGGGAGGGGGGCATCAAGCGCAGCAGCACCGTGCACCACTCCCGCCACCCCACGTGGAACGAAGGGTTTATTCTCGAGGTGAGGGGAGGGGGGAGGAGGGGTTGGGAATGATAAGGTGCTGCTTTGCTGTGTGTGGGGTTGATTCGTGAACTAGAGGGAGGTTCATTCTCCAGGTGAGAGGGGGTAGGAGTGACAAAGCGGTGCGTTGAGGGGGGCAGCGGGAGGGGGGCATCAAGCGCAGCAGCACCGTGCATCACTCCCACCACCCCACATGGTTGGAGGGTTCATACTTGAGGTGCGGGGGAATGGAGTGCGGTGCTGTAGTGTGACTACCGGTAACTGAAAGGATCATGCGGTGCAGTGCGGTAGCCTGCTTGCCCCTCTGTCTAGCACCTGACCAGTTCTCTGCTTGTACATCCCTCTCACTCCCTTTTGCCCTCTTCTCGATTCGCCCCTCACTCCCACACACAGGTGGAGGACCCAGAGTCGCACCAATTGACCATCCGGCTCATTGCTCATCCCTCGCACCCCCTCCTTCCCTCTTCCACCGCGTCGCCCCTCAACCCCTCGCACATTTGCACTCCCTCGCGCACAGGTGGAGGACCCAGAGTCGCAGCAGCTGACCATCCAGCTCATTGCTCATCCCTCTCACCCCCTCGTCCCCTCTTCCATGCATCGCCTCTCACTCACTCCCTTTTGCCCTCTTCCGCCCTTCGCCCTTCACCCCCTCGCACAGGTGGAGGACCCACAGTCGCAGCAGCTGACCATACGGCTGATGGACAGCGAGCGGTTTGAAAAGTCGGAGTTCATTGGAGCGCACCTGCTGCCGCTCCACACGGTATGCTCACTTCGTGTGGTGTGCCGCTCACATACCTGCTGCCGCTCCACACGGTATGCTCACTTCGTGTGGTGTGCCGCTCACATACCTGCTGCCGCTCCACACGGTAGGGTGGTGTTTGAGTCGACTAAAAAGGGTCGCTCTGTCTGCCTGCTGTGCTGCTCTCATGCATGCTACCCCATTCACGTGGTATGCTTGCGCTGTTGGAGTCACGTTTGAATGGTTAGCATGCATGAATGCTGCCTTTCCGCCTGGTATACTGCTTGCATCCTCTCACCCTTTCTCCATCGCTTCTCTCTTTTATATGCTCCTCCTCCGCTTCTCCCTTCAGCATCTCTCCCGTTTCCCCTCCTCTCCAAACCATCCCAGCTGCACCCAAACAAGGCACAGCACCTGTGGCTAGACCTGTATGATAAGCTGGAGACCCCTGTCTGTTCTCCATTCCCATAGCCAAACAAGGCACAGCAGCTGTGGCTAGACCTGTACGACAAGCCAGAGACTCACTCGCCTCTTCCCCCTTTCACATACTTCAACTCTATTCGCTTCCCTCCTTTCCCCCTCCCCTTCTATCCCAGCTGCTCCCCAACAAGGCACAGGACCTGTGGCTAGACTTGTACGACAAGCCCGAGACTCCTGAGAGTGCGAGCACAGACGGGCGCGTGCATGTGGTGGTGATGTATGTGCCGTACACTCAGCGAGAGGGGGGAGGGAATGGGGGGAGAGCTGCTGAAGGGAAGGAGGGAGAAAGGAGTGGTGTGGAGGAGGAGCGAAGGGAGAGTGGGGTGCACGCAGGGCAGGGAAGGGCGGACACCAGGGGTGATGGGGGAAGGGCAGGAGGATAGAGGTAGGTGCTCAGACTACGTAGAGTGCGAGCACACATGGGCGCGTGCACGTGGTGGTGATGTATGTGCCGTACACGCAGGGAGAGGGGGGAGGGAATGGAAAGAGTGCTGCTGAAGGGAAGGGCGGAGAGTAGGGTTGATGAGGGAAGGGCAGGAGGATAGAGGCAGGTGCTCAGACTCCCCGGAGAGTGCGAGCACACACGGGCGCGTGCACGTGGTGGTGATGTATGTGCCGTACACTCAGCGAGAGGGGGGAGGGAATGGGGGGAGTGCTTCTGAGGGCGAGGAGGGAGGGAGGAGTACCGCAGCTGGGGAGGATGGGGAAAGGAGTGCTGTGGGGGAGGAGGGGGGAGGGAGTGTGATGCAGTCAGAGCAGGGAAGGGCGGAGAGCAGAGTGATGGGGGAAGGGCGGGAGGATAGAAGGTTGTCAAACTCTCCCCTGAGAGAAAGAGCACTCGTGGAAGAGTGCATGTGGTGGTGGTGTACGTGCCGTACACGCCGCGAGAGGGGGGAGGGGGGAGTTTCGTAAAGGGGGAGGGGGGAGTTCCGTAAAGGGGGAGGAGGGAGAAGGGGAGGGTGATGCAGGCAGAGCAGCGAAGGGCGGGCCGTGCAGGGGAGGAGGCCAGGGAGGGAGGATTGGTGCTGTGCGGTGACTGCAAGGGAGGAATGGAACAGCAGCATGCATGTGGTGGAGTGATGTGCATGCTGTGGCCCTTATAAAGAAAAAGTTATAGCTCATGTGCAAGTGGAGCAAACAGCAAAGGTTATGTTCTCATTGCTGTGAAGCAAACAGCAAAGGTCACACAGTAAATGACTAAAACGCCATCGGACAAAACTCGCGATCACGGTGGGACTCGAACCCACAATCTCCCGCTCCGGAGGCGAGCGCCTTATCCATTAGGCCACGCGACCCATGACACAAGCAAACAAGAAACGTATTCGATCTATACTGTGTTTATTCATTGCGATAACATTTACTTCCCAGACATGCGATAAGCAGTTTAGGGTGCATGCGTGCGACATTTCAGAAGCACAGACTAGGCCTCTCCTAATAAACAGCTAATAAGCAGCTATGGACGACGACTTCCCGCCAATGCTGGACGTGCCAGGCTTCGGAATTCAACTACCAGGGAGAGTGAGTTCCGCGCCGCGTCTCGTAGCGCGCCAATGCTTGCTCGCCACGGCAGCGCGACCACCGCTGCGTGCCGTGCTTGCTGACCTCAGCCGCTGCTGCCTGTTCTGCCTGTATCCGTTGCTTAACCCCGGGCCCATTTCTCCGTGTCTACCCCCCGCCATTGTTCTCCCCGTCCTCCTCACATCCGCTCCCCCACCTCGCGCGCGCGTTTCCCGCAGACCGCGGAAGACAGCAACCTCAACTTCCTGTAAGCTCCCCCGCGCCCCTGTCTCCCCCCGTGCCTCCCTCCCCCCGCGCCTCTCTCTCCCCGCGCCTCTCCCTCTCTCCTCGCCTCTCCTTCCCGCCGGCCCCCACGCTCCCCTCGCCTCCCCACCCCCTTTTCCCCCGTTTCTCGACCCCTGCGTACCCTCCATCCCGCCGCCGCCACCGCTGCTGTATCCGCCACCGTGCCACCCTTAGCTGGTTCCCCCCTTATCTCCCCTCCCCTACATCTGCCTTCCCCCCTTCTCTCCCCTCCCCCTCCCTCCCCGATCTGCCTGACCCTCCCCCCTCGGCTACCTCTCCCCTTCGCCCCTCCTTCTTCCTCCGCCTCTCCTCCCGCTTCCTCCCCTCTGCTTCCCTCTTCCCTCCCTCCCCTGCCCGTCCCCCCATCCTCCGCCTCCGCCTCCCCTTGTCCCTTTTTCCGCCTGCCCTCCCCCCTTCCCCTTCCAGCACGGACAGCGGCACAGCCAACTTCGGCCACGTGGCAGTGGGACGAGGGGGACTCAGAGTGCCCGATCAGCAGAAGCAGGTGAGCACTGCTCGCCCCAGGTTTGGAGTACCAAGGCACAGGTCATCTTCCTTACCCCCCTCTGTCGTCCTCCCACTCCTCCCACCACTTGCCACCCGCACCGATTTCAGCACGACCATTCACCTTCCCTTCCCCCTTCCCACCTCCTTCCACTCGCAACCCCCACCCTCCGGCCCCACATACCCTTCCCTCCTCCTCCCCCCCCGGGTGGCAGCATTACATACATATCGCAGCTGCTGATGAGACTTCTCAAAAGTGACTCCCAAGCTCGCCGCAGCATTGCAGCTCGCTGCGCCTGTTGACTTTTGAGTCGACTCAAAAGTCAACTCGCATTGCAGCTCGCTGCGCCTGGCGAATCCGAAGCAGGTGGAGCTGCTGCTGGGGCGGGGGGCGAGCGCGGCAGTGCACCTGGTGCAGCACGTGCTTTCCCGTCTCCCCTTCCCATAGCCCCATATTCACCCGCCCCTCGCCGTCCCCCCCCCTCCTCCCCCTCACAGCAGGACAACTCGTTGCGCCTGGCGGATCTGAGGAAGATGGAGCTGCTGGGGCGGGGGGCGAGCGCAGCAGTGCATCTGGTGCAGCACGTGTTGTCCATTTCGCCTTCCCATAACTCCTATATTCCCGCCCTCCCCCCTCCAACCCCTCACAGCAGGACAACTCATTGCGCCTGGCTGATCTGAGAAAGATGGAGCTGCTGGGGAGGGGGGCGAGCGCGGCAGTGTATCTGGTGCAGCACGTGCACACGGGGCAGCAGTACGCCTTGAAGGACATGCAGCTGAACATGGATGCTGATGTGCAGAAGCACGTGGGGAATGAATTGCGTATTAATCACCAGTGCCGCTCGCCGCACGTTGTGCGCTGCTACCAGGTATGCTGGGGTGTGCGGTGCGGTGCTGTGCGGTGCTGTGTGGCCAACTAGTCATTATTTTGAGCCATCTCAGAACCCTTTCCACCGGTCTGTACCCCTGCTCACCACCCGTCTCCAGGCGTTCGTGGACGACGGGCATCTGTTGATCGTGCTCGAGTGCATGGTCAGCAGGGTGAAGGGGAGAGCAGAGAGAAGCAGACAGATGAGGACGATTCTGCTCTCCCCTTCACCTGCACCTCCTCATATCCGCGAGAGTACATGGACGCGGGGTCACTGGCCGACGTGCTGCAGCTGAGTCCTTAAAAGCCTCTCCACCGCTCTGCACCCCTTCTCGCCCCTCTCCAGGCCTTTGTGGACGACGGGCACCTCTTGATCGTGCTCGAGTACATGGACGCGGGGTCCCTCGCAGACGTGCTGCAGCTGGTGGGGCGAATCACGGAGCCGTACCTCGCAGCCATCTCCCACCAGGCGCTGCAGGGCCTGCGGGACCTGTACGGGGGGCACCGCATCATTCACCGCGACATCAAGCCCAGCAACATGCTTCTCAACCAGTCGGGATGCCTCAAGATCAGCGACTTTGGCGTTAGTCGCGTGCTCGAGAATAGCTACGATGTCGGGAACACGTTCGCTGGCACGTACACGTACATGTCGGTGAGTTGCCAGGGGTAGGTGCAAGGGGCAGGGGCAGGGGTAGGTGCAGGGGCAGGGGGATGCCTTGCAGGGGCTGGGGCAGGGGCAGCAGGTGCAGGGGTACGGGCAGGGGCAGTGGTAGTGGCAGGCGCTGCAGGGCCTGCGGGACCTGTACGGGGGGCACCGCATCATTCACCGCGACATCAAGCCCAGCAACATGCTTCTCAACCAGTCGGGGTGCCTCAAGATCAGTGACTTTGGTGTTAGTCGCGTGCTGGAGAATAGCTACGATGTCGGGAACACGTTTGCGGGGACGTACACTTACATGTCGGTGAGTTGTGGGCCATTTGTAGGTGCAGGTACAGCAACAGCTTCAGAAACAGCAACAGAAACAGCAACAGCAACAGCAACAGCAACAGCAACAGCAACAGCAACAGCAACAGCAACAGCAACAGCAACAGCAACAGCAACAGCATCAGAAACAGCAACAGAAACAGCATCAGCAACAGCAAAAGCAACAGCATCAGAAACGGCAACAGCAACAGCAACAGCAACAGCAACAGCATCAGAAACAGCAACAGCAACAGCAACAGCATCAGAAACAGCAACAGCAACAGCAACAGCAACAGCAACAGCATCAGAAACAGCAACAGCAACAGCATCAGAAACAGCATCAGCAACAGCAACAGCAACAGCAACAGCAACAGCAACAGCAACAGCAACAGCATCAGAAACAGCATCAGAAACAGCATCAGAAACAGCAACAGCAACAGCATCAGCAACGGCATCAGAAACAGCATCAGAAACAGCATCAGCATCAGCATCAGCATCAGCATCAGCATCAGCATCAGCATCAGCAACAGCATCAGCATCAGCATCAGCAACAGCAACAGCAACAGCAACAGCAACAGCAACAGCAACAGCATCAGCACAGCAACAGCAACAGCAACTGACATGAGGCGTCACTAGTCTTTCTTATCAGCATCACGCGTTACTCCTAACTCCTGACCGTTAATGTACATGATTCCCTCCCTTCTCTCCCTCCTCCCCCTCCCCCCTCCTCATCCCCCTCCCCCACCAGCCTGAGCGCATAATGGGCAAGTCCTATTCGCACAACAGCGACGTGTGGGCGTTCGGTGCCAGTCTGCTGGGGTGTGCTATCGGCCAGTACCCCTACCTTACCGCTATCATTGCCCTCTCCGCTCCTCCGTTTCCCTCCCCCCTCCCCCACCAGCCCGAGCTCATAATGGGCAAGTCCTACTCGCACAACAGCGACGTGTGGACGTTTGGGCTGAGCCTGTTGGAGTGTGCTATCGGCCAGTACCCCTACCTCCCTTTCCCTCCCCTCCCCCACCAGCCTGAGCGCATAATGGGCAAGTCCTATTCGCACAACAGCGACGTCTGGGCGTTCGGTCTCAGCCTACTGGAGTGTGCCATCGGCCAGTACCCCTACCGCCCCGCCTCTGGAGGCGCGTTCAACTACTTCGACCTTCTCTCTGAAATTTCCAACTCGCCTGCTCCCATTGCTCCGCCGGACTTCTTCTCGCCGCAGTTCTGCGACTTTGTGGCACTCTGGTGGGTGTAGTGCGGTGCAGTGCTCTGTGTGCAACCGTGTGTGCTCACGTTGACCCCCTGTTTTCTTCTCACCCCAGTTCTGCGACTTGGTGGCACTCTGGTGAGTGCCTGGCTATGTGGGTGACTGGGTGGGTGTGGTGGGTGTAGTGCGGTGCAGTGCGATGGGTGGTGGGTGGGCCGGTGTTCTGCCCTTCGCATGAGGAGCGTTCAACTATTTCGATCTGCTCTCGGAAAATTCCAACTCGCTTGCCCCTATTGCTCCGCAGGACTTCTTCTCGCCGCAGTTCTGCGAATTTGTGGCTCTTTGGTGGGTGTAGTGCGGTGCAGTGCTCTGTTTGCAATCGTGTGCGTGCGCTCACGTTGATCCCCTGTTCTTGTCTCGCCTCAGTTCTGCAAGTGTGTTGCACTCCCTTATGCTGGTCTGTGCTGACATCACTCCGCCATTCTCATTCCACCCCCTTGTTTCCATTCTCACTTCACCCCTCTCTATCCTATTCTCACTCCACCCCTCTCTATCCTATTCTCACTCCACCCCTCTCTATCCTATTCTCACTCCACCCCCTTTATCCTATTCTCACTCCACCCCCTTTATCCTATTCTCACCTCACACCCCCTTTATTCCATCCTCACCTCACACCCCCTCTGCAATCTCCAGAAGGACCCCAGCCAGCGGTAATCAGCGGAGCAGCTTCCTGTGAGTCCACCGTTCCCACTCTCTCGGCCCCTCGGCCCCATTCTTAACCCCGCTTCCCTCCTCCCCACTCCCATCCTCCTCCCCCCCCTCCCTCTCGCCCCCTGCAGTCTCCAGAAGGACCCCAGCCAGCGGCCATCAGCGGAGCAGCTTCTTGTGAGTTCACCATGCTCTCTGCCATGCCATGTCATGCTGTGGCATGCTGTCGCATGCTGCGGCATGCTGCAGCATGGGGTGGAGTGGCGGGCCATGCCATGCCATGCCATGCCATGGTCTGGCATGGCATAGTATGGCTCGGCATGGCATGATGGCGCGGCGTGGTATGGCAGGGCATGGGATGGCATGGCATGGAATGGCATGGCATGGCCTGTGTGTTTTTGGTGGGTACCATGCGAACATGGGTGGTTATATAATACTCTGGCCCACGCCTATACGTCTGAAAATCCTATACCTCTTCAAGTGTTACTCTGTCTTCAATCATCTCCTGTTTTACTTAGCCCGACCTTCACTTATCCTCTCCCCTTCTCCGTGCTGCTGTCCCTCCCGTCCCACCCTCCTCCCGTGACCAATCAGAACCATCCGTTCATCCACTTACATCCTGACGTCAGCCTAAAACCACTTGTGAGCAGCGACTGATGGCTGCGGATGGCAATATAGCGCATCAGATCTGGTTGGGATCTGAAGGCTTTGCATGGTGCACGTTCACGAGCTTCTGTTTCAATAGTTGACATGGTAACCTAACACTCATGTCCTAATTATCGTTTGTTTTTATTCTAATATCTATCTCTACCTTCTGGTGTGGTTGCGGGATTGTTGAGAAAAGATGGTGATTAATCAGAGAGGTCACAGAAATAACGGAGGTCAGATAAACATGACTGAAACCCTTCTCGTAGGTCGCGTGGCCTAATGGATAAGGCGCTCGCCTCCGGAGCGGGAGATTGTGGGTTAGAGTCCCACCGTAAACGCGTTTTGTCGTTCTCCCTTTTAATGGGTTTCACCTGCCCATCTCCTTTTGCACATAGTGCTAAGGGCGGGTCCAGCTCTTGTTGGGTGGAAAACGGTGAAGCTTGATAACCATTGTGCACCGTCCGGAATCGTCTTGCGTCACGACAGATGAACTGAAAACGAACGCGCTCGTCGACCTGCCCTAATCACCCCTGGTATATTTTATCGTTGCCTCTTGAAGCTCACCTGCTCGTCTCCTTTTGCGCATATTACTGCTGCTCTGCCCTGCTCTTTTCTCCTCAAAATTTATGAATAATATAACTGAATACAAGTCGAGCACATGAGCAGCTTCAAGAAGAGGGCTGAAGCCCATACTCTCTTACACTAATGTACTTCCTGCTGATCACCATGGACACTATTCACTTGCTGCAGCACCTGCTGCTGCTGCTGCTGCTGCTGCTGCTGCTGCTGCTGCCGCTGCTGCCGCTGATGTTGATCCGCTTCCTGCTGTTGCTCCGATTGCACCTGAAAATCATGTTGCTGAGGCTGATGCTGAGCCTCTTGCTGCTGGCCCTGCGCTTCCTGTCTGAGCAAATCCACGCGTGCAGCTACTTCCTGCTCCTGCTGCACCCTAGCAGCAATAAGCGGACACACCACCTTATGCCGGGCCTTCCAGTCCACTGCCTGGCACACACGGCTGCAATACTTAGCCTCCCCACACGCGGAGCAGCACCGGAACTCCTGTTTCCTCGTCTCCGATCTCCCGCACAGCTCGTTGCAGCACACTCTGAATCCCTCAGGGAGCGGCACGAGCGCATGCCAGTCCACCAGGAATTTATGCACGGCGACATGCCACCAGGAGGGCGGCAGGGTGACATGTGGCAGGCAGCAGCAGCGGTGGGGCCCACTGGACCCCGTGCACATCGCCACAGGAGGCCTCTCTGCGTGGGGCAAAGCTTCACTCGCATCTGCACCAACAGGGGCTTGGGTAACACGTCCAAGTACTTGTGCTTCGGAGTGCTGGATGCTAGACAGATGTGCTTGCTGGGACTGGCGATCTAACTGGTGATTCTGCGGCTGCTGCAACCCAGACTGCTGCAGAGGAAACTGCCCATCACCCTCGGATCTCTCCCTCCCCCCTGCCTCGAGTGCGTGCGTTACGCTTTCTCTCGCCACGTTCTCGCCGCTTTGGAGGTTCTGCAGCACGCTCAAGTCGACTCTCGAACCCGAGGAGGCACGGTGGGGTACGACCTCCCCTTGGAGCGATGCGCCAGACACGCCAGGTGCATCACTGCTCCGACCTTGGCTCCAGGAACCCGTGCTACACGCGTGCTGGCGTGCAAACGTGCTTGGAATTGCAGCAGCACGCATCAGCACATGAGGTCTCGGAACGTGCACCTCGCCCTTCATGCTACCCTCTTTCGCACCCACTGCACAGTTTTCATTTGAACCGAAAGAGCCAGCGCCAGCTGAAGCCACTGGAAGAGCGGCAGGAGAATCTTGCACGTCACTGCAATTAGACGTCCCGCTCGTCCCGCATTGCGACGCAGCGCCCCGCGGGGCTACTACTAGCGGAGCAACACACCGAGGCACCGCCACGGAGCAGGCAAGCGCGCGCGCCGCCTCGCGAACGTTCGCCTCCTGCAGCATCCGGCGGCCCTCGTGAACGTCCCGCTGCACGCCGTACCCGTCCTGCAGGCAGTGCCCCAGCTCCCGCAGCGCCTCCACGTGTCCCGCGGCCGCGGCGCGCGCGCAGAGCAGAACCCCCGCCACCAGGTCGCGGTCGTGGCGCGTGCCGCCGCTGCCGTTGAAGTGGATGATCGCGAGCGAGTGCAGCGCGTGCGGGTGCGCCGCGAGAGCCGCCTTCGCCAATAGCGTGGCTCCGTGCTGATGATCCCCAAGGCAGTAGAACTTAATCTGTAGCAAGGCAAAGGAGAAGATGACAGTTGTGAGTATTGAGAGCAAGAGCTATACCGTCAATGTACCGATTACGGAAGACGCAGGAGGGGGAAAGGGAAGGAGGAGGGAGAGAAGGAGGGGAGAAAATTGATCAGCGAAATTTTCGTGCGAGATCGTGAGAACCAGGAGGCTTACCATGCCGAGAATGTAGCAGGCGTCTGTGTTGCCGGAAGCCGCACACTTTTGCAAGAAAAAGTGCGACCCTTCGGATAGCGACCGTGCCCGCATCGCGAGCGCGAGAGGCGACACTTTTCGAAGCACTTGAGCCTGCGTGCCGAGCTCGCACATGCGACGGGACCTGAAGAGCGAACAAAGCAGAAAAAATGACGTCAGCTTTGCGTGGCTGTTTCGAAAGGTAAGCGGTTGAAAGAAAGAAGCTTTACAGTTCGTGACGTTAAGTCTCGAAGGCCCTTACGTGAGGAGGACGTTGATGACGTCAGCGGATGAGTCGGCGCCAGCGACCACCTTCTCCAATATGCACGTGAGAATCTCATCCTGCAATTCGATAACAAAACTTCCGATTAGAATCCTTGTTGAGATCCAGATGAGGAGTTTAAGATGGCTAAAAATAAATAACAAGTTATGGGCCTCAGGAAATGCACGTACGGGAAGGTTATCCATGTGTGAAGGCCCTGAAGCCGCAAGCCGTTTGTGAGCTGACGAATCGGAAGCCTTTAGCGACATTCGCGTCAAGTAGGCTCGTTTGGAAGGTGTGTGGCGTATGTGGAAAGTAATACCGTCTGCAGCACTTTGATACCCGCCGGTTCTCGTCCGCATAATGACTTGTTTTACAAAAGAACCTCTCAAATATAGAACCACGCCAAGCTTCTTGATAAGACGTTGGTACGCACCGCACTATGCTGAAACACCTGATTTCTTGGACGTAAATCAAGCAACACAATGCCATGGCTAAGTAGCCGCTCGAAAGGACAAGAAGGGAGGAAGAGGCCGAGAACCACCGCGGCCAGCGGCACGCGTGAGGGGGGTGTGTGGAGGAGGAAGAAACAGAACCAACATCGATGATTTGAGGTGGAAGCAAAGGCGGTGATGGTGGTGGGAGGGTGATTCGGAGTGGAAGGCAGAATCGAGATACGAGTTTCGTCTGCCTCTCAGCAAATCCGTCCACCTCCGAGAAGATACGAGTTGCGCCAAGGTGGCCGAGCAGATTTGGAGCATCCCCTTCGAGGTTGTCAGATTGTAGCAGCGGGGCTGCTGCTGCCCGCCAGCGCACAGGGAGCCCAACACGAATGCACAACAACTTCGGGGTTTGTGAGTGTCTTGGGATTCTGACCTTGGGATTTGTCTCAACAGTATTGACCGACGTGTCATTATCTCCATCCATCTGCGAAGTCTGTGTTGGCGAGGAAGCTCGAGGGCCGTTGGATCCATTGACTGTGGGTGCATACCTCGAAAGCCGCACGGCACGGGGCAGCAAGAGTGCACACAATCCACCGCCGAAGATTGCTGCTGAACGAAATTCTGTTGTAATCTCGTGTGTGTGATTTTCTGGAGATAATTCCTGATTCTGCCTCATCACCTCGCTGAAGCGCAGGGAAACGTACTACCGGCTTACGAACCGTACAGAACCGAACAGGATTGCTGCCTGTTCTGGGCAGATTCGAGAACGAGATCAAGCCAGTGAGGTCAGAAAGGGCAAAACACACCGAGCACATCGCACAGTTCTATTACACCGCCATCGCACTATCACCCTGGCAAGGAAGCCATAAAATATTCACCTGATATTGACGGCTGGTTTGACTGACGCATCGATCGAGACATCGATGCGCAATTGACGCGTACAATTTTGTATCTCCTTTATAGGCTTCTCCAAGGTCTGCTACAACAGCCAGCCTATTTCACATTTGGTAGCGCCCATTGTACTACGGTCAATGTGCTCCCGATGCAGAACAAATCACAACAAAAACAACGCGCTCGTAAGGAGGTGACTAACCAACCACCGGATCCAACTGAGATTGCTTACTGATAGTAAGCTAGGGCACAACGTACTGATAGTAAGCTAGCATGGCCCATACCAAGCAAGAACACAATTAAAGTCGAATCAAAAGTACGCCGTTGCAGTAACGGACTTCCCATTCTCCATGAAGCAGGTAACATTGTTGCTTGCTCCAATGGCAACGAAAAAACTCTGACTCTTCCAGCCGATATTCCCGGGCCTGTATTTCCGGCAGTTATGCCAACCTGCAGCGACAATGAATCCAGCTTGATGGTTGGCACAAGGTCCAGCCGTGTTTGGGGCGATTGAAGGATGACTGGATCGGAGGGATCGGTTGCGCAGTGGAGGCGCCTAGACAACCATCACTGCGCCCACCCCACCATGCTTCTGCCAGTCAACAAGAATTCTCGAGAAGGCTCAAGAGCGAATCAAACGTGGTACCGACGCCAAGGGTGGTTTGTTACCCCGACCCGCCTGTCTCGCGCCAGTCGAGGATCATGGATTTGAGAGCGCGGTTGGGCACGAGGGCCTTCGAGGGCAGGCGACCTTTGAGGCGCCTCAAAAATAGCTACTCCGACCCGCCTGTCTCGCGCCAGTCGAGGATCATGGATTTGAGAGCGCGGTTGGGCACGAGGGCTTTGGAGGGCAGGCGCACGTTGGTCATGGGCGAGCGGTCGCTCTTCTCCAGCCACTGCTGTATCGCCACCAGCTCGTACGTGTGCCCGTCCGCTGCTATCACTGGATTCACCATCAGCTCCTGCAGGTTTGTTCAAAGGGAGGTGGGGGGCGAGGAGGGGAAGAATCGAGGGAGTAGGTGAATGCAAAGCAACACCAGCTCGTATGTGTGCCCATCCGCTGCCATCACCGGATTCACCATCAGCTCCTGTACGGGGGGATCAATGGGGGGAAGGGGAACCGGAAGGACGGGGGGAGGAGAACAAAAGGGGGGACGGTTAGGAGCGTCTGAATGCAGAGAAACACCAGCTCATATGTGTGCGCATCCGCTGCTATCACCGGGTTCACCATCAGCTCCTGCAGGTTTGTTCAAAGGGAGGTGGGGGCGAGGAGGGGAAGAAGCGAAGGCGTAGGTGAATGCAGAGAAACACCAGCTCATATGTGTGCCCATCCGCTGCTACCACCGGGTTCACCATCAGCTCCTGCAGGGGGGGTTCAAAGCAAGGAGGGGAAGCACAAGTGACAAGTTGCGCCTTCTTGCCATGGCAGCTCTGGCCTGGATGGTATGCCATGGGCAGTGCGGGGTGGGTGAGTGCGGGAGAGGTGAGTGCGGGGTGGGTGAGTGCGGGAGAGGTGAGTGCGGGGTGGGTGAGTGCGGGGTAGGTGAGTGCGGGGTAGGTGAGTGCAGGGTAGGTGAGTGCGGGGCAAGGCGGGTATTGCAGCAAGCGGCCAGCAGCACAGCACCTGAGTGCTTTCAATGCAACATGGGGGGCACCGCACCTGGGTGATGGGGCAGAAGAGGCAGGGCGGAGCAGCAGCCACGGGGCGCACCAGCGACGCCTTCTTCGCATCCTCCTCCACCTTGATCGCCACGCTCCTCATCCGATCCAATATCGAGGTGCACCATCTGAGTGATTGACTCAAAACACACCTCGGTGATTGCAACACGGGGCACCGTACCTGGGTGATGGGGCAGAAGAGGCAGGGCGGAGCAGCAGCCACGGGGCGCACCAGCGACGCCTTCTTCGCATCCTCCTCCACCTTGATCGCCACGCTCCGCATCCGATCCAGAATCGGCATCACCTCCGTCTCCAGATCCGGCCGCTTCCGCCTCTTCATCTCGCTGCAATGAATCGCCAGCCTGGCGATCTCCATCGGCATGCCCTGCGGCCACGTGCCGGCTCCTCGGTCCAAGAACCGCATCAGTTCATCGTTCCGGTTGTTCTCCACGGCAAGTTCGAGGGCTTCGTACAGAGTGGGCGTGCGGCCTGTGAGGAGGTCTAGGAGGACTATGCCGAACGCGTACACGTCGGATTTCGGGCCGAATTCCCCAGTTCGCTGGAATTCCGGGTCTACGTACGCGAACGTCCCCACCGGGGTCGACTCGCGGTCGCACGTCCTCTCCATAGACAGCCCCGGCATAAGCTTCGCGAGCCCCACATCCCCTAGCTTCGCGACGAAATTCTTATCGAGCAGAATGTTCCCAGGCTTTAAGTCCCGGTGGACGATGGGCACGGGGCGGGTGTGCAGGATGAGGAGCGAGGAGGCGATTTCGGCGGCGATGCGGATGCGGACGAACCAGGGGAGGGGGGGCGTGGAGTTGAGGCGCATGAGGCGGTCCTCTAGAGAGCCGTTGGCGAGGTACTCGTAGACGAGCACGTAGCGATCCGGACAGCACCCCAGCAGCATCAGCACGTGCGGGTGCTGTATCTGACTCAGAATCTCCACCTGGTTTTAGGGGGAGGGGGGGGGGGGGGGGACGGGAGGAGGAGGAGTCGAGGAGGGGAGGGGAGGGGAGAGGGGAGGGGAGGAGAAGGGTGGCGTGGAGTAAAGGCAGAGCAGGCGGTCCTCTAGCGAATCAAAGCATGCACTAAGGCAGCAGAAGCACCGTACCTCCTGTTGGAACTCTGCCATGGCTTGGATGGAATCCTTGCTCTTCAGCAGCTTCACGGCCACGGGTCTAGACTTGACAGAAAAGCACCATGCCCGCACTGCACTGACGCACCTCCTGCTGAACTTCCGCCACAGCCTGAATGGATGGAGTAGTTGCTCTTGAGCAGCTTCACAAGCATGAGTCTAGACTCGGCTCCAAAGGCAGCACGTACACACACTATTGCAAGCAAAATGCACGAACCAACCCACGCACCTCCTGTTGGAACTCCGCCATGGCCTGGAATCCTGGATGGAGTCCTTGCTCTTGAGAAGCTTCACTGCAATCGCATTTAAGTCGACCAATGTTCACAACACTCACGCACCCAGGCAACATGCACGCACCAAGGCAGCCCCAACGCACCTCCTGCTGGAGCTCCGCCATGGCCTGGATGGAGTCCTGGCTCTTCAGCAGCTTCAACCGTGATGAGTTTAGACTCGCCTCAGTTCGAAATTCTCTCCATGCACGCGCTAGCTACTCCTGCTGTGAAGCTAAAGGCAACATGCACGCACGCACCTCCTGCTGAAACTCCGCCATGGCTTGAATGGAGTCCTGGCAGCTTCACTGGTGTCCACACCAGCGCACTCACTCCTGATGCAACCAAGTCAGCACGCATGAACGCACCACGGCAGCACGCACGCACGCACCTCCTGTTGGAACTCCGCCATGGCTTGAATTGAGTCCTGGCTCTTGAGCAGCTTCACGGCCACGGGTCTAGACTTGACAGAAAAGCAATATGCCCGCACTGCACTGACGCACCTCCTGTTGGAACTCCGCCATGGCCTGCATGGAGTCCTGGCTCTTGAGCAGCTTCACCGCAGTGGCATTTGAATCTACTCAAGTGTCTACACCACACCAGCACACTCACTGCTGATGGGACTGAGTGAACACGCACCAAGGCAGCCCCAACGCACCTCCTGTTGGAACTCCGCCATGGCCTGCATGGAGTCCTGGCTCTTGAGCAGCTTCACGGCCACGGGCGTGTGGTGCAGAGTGCCAGAGTACACGGTGCCAAACCCCCCCTCGCCCAGCTTGCGCTCTGCACTGAAGTTGTCCGTCGCTGCCTGCTTGGTGCAAGGGCGGGGGGGGGGAGTGGGACGCAGGGGGTGAGGTACAGGGAGAGGGGAAGGAAGAGGGGAAGAACAGATGGGGTGGTGCAGGGCAATCAGTGCCTGAGTGCACGGAGCGTGCCAGAGCACGCCTTGAAGCAAACATCAGACAAGTATACTGTATCCCTGTGCCATCACTTCGTCCTCTCCCGTCTCCCAACGCACCAGAATTTCTTCATACGAGTATTCCCTGTAGTGATGCACCCGCCGCACCACCGGTGCCACTGCTTCCCCTCCCCCCGCCGCCCCCCCTGCACCACCCCCCCCTCTCTCCGCCTCTTCTCCCCTCCCCTCTCGCCTCCCCACCTCCTCTTCCGCGGCCCTCCTCCCCTCTTCCGCGGCTGCCCGCGCCCTCTCCGCGTCTACAGCAATCTGCCCGATCCTCGCAGCTGCATCCGCCTCCCGCGCCACTCCCTGTGCCGCGGGAACCCGAGGCTCGGGCCGAGCGTGCTGTTGAAATTGACCCCCCTCAGGGCCGAACGCGGCCTGCTGGTTACCACTGAGTCTGGCAGCAGTAGCAGCGGCGTCAGGGAGAGGCATGCCCGCGAGGGCTGCTGTGGCATGGGCCATTCGCGCTTCGAGATCAGCCATGAAGGCCTGCTGCTGCTCTGCTGTCGCTTGTGGGTTGGCCCTCCTCCACGCGTCTACTTCTGCTAGATAATCCCTCTGTAGCCGCTGCTGCACCTGCTGTAGCTGCATCTGCTGCATGTGCTGCTGCTGCTGCAGCTGCTGCTGCTGCTGCAGTAGCAGCATCTGCTGCTGGTTCTGCAGCTGCAGCTGCTGCATCTGCATCTGGACCATACTGTCTATATCGCCGCCGCCGTCCCCGGGATTCCAAGCCGGGGACGCCCCGGGCATGCTGTGAGGTACGGCCAAGCCTGGGGAGTAGGCTTGGAAGCCGGGCAAACCGTCAGGCGTGGTGGGGGTAGCACCAGCATGGTCATGCGGCCAGGTACCGGCTCGGGAGGGCTGTGGGGCGGTGTGGACAGTGGGGCTGGTGGGGTAGTCTGCGCCAGGTGGCTGCGCGCCATTGGTTCTTGCGGCTTCCTCATCCCCTCCTGCATCATCAAACCCAAGCCCGTCGGTGGGCTCTAGCACACCCGATGAGCTGTGTGTGGAGGAGCGATCGGAGTGCTGGTGGTGGTGCGCGGACATGGACGGGCTGTGGCGGAAGGGTGCCGATGCCAGGAGTATGTGGCCGGGGCTGGTGGGAGCGGAGGCGGAGGAGGCGGGCGGCGAGTCGGCCTCTCTGCACGCGGTGACTTTGTCCTTTAGCACCACGTATACGGACACTGTGGGCGGGCGGTTCTTCATGCAGTATGCCCCCACTCCTGTACGCCCGCGACTGGAAAGGAGAGAGAATGGGGGAGGGGAGTGGGGTGGGGGAGATGGTGGGTGAAGGTGGCACGCACATGCCACAGATGGCACTTTTGAGGTGCCAAACAAATCAGCTTGCATGCATTCACTTACCAAATATGCGATTTTTGGGCCTCCTGACACGTAAGCTGGGACATACGCACGCAAGCACGCACACGGGCACGACCATGGGGACGCACGCATGCACGCCAGTGTGCACGCGCGCTCGCACTCACATGCCAAAGATGCCTCTGGAGCTGGTGCCGACGACGAGTGTGGTGGCCTTGAGCTTCCTGGTACGCACTATACAAGGCTGCTCCCAACGAAACAGAGCGGTGCATGCACTCACGCGCGCTCGCACTCACATGCCAAAGATGCCGCGTGAGCTGGTGCCGACGACGAGTGTGGTGGCCTTGAGCTTCCTTGACTCGTCCACTATGCCCTTCTCCTTGCTGTTGTTGCGCCCCACCTTCAACTCCATCCTTATCTGCCACGCACCATGCACCATGCATCATGAGCGTAAACATGCACATGCACATGCACATATACACGCACACGCACATGCACATGCACATGCACATATAAACGCAAACGCACACGCACATGCACATGCACACACATGTGCGTGTTGCACATACACACACACACACACACTGACAAACACACACACACACACACACACACACACACACACACACACACACACAGGAACGACCATCATCAGCGTTGTCTTTGTTGTCTCGCCCTCGCCAACCCCATCCTCTAGAGAAACGTCCACCCTACACAACAGCAATAAGAGCCATTTGAAAACTCCCAAAACCAACACCAGCATGAACGTCCATCCTGCACCAGTATCTCTGGGTGCTACAGCAATGCCGAGCGACTATCTTGAGCTCAGATTAGAACATCCTGGGGTGCTGCGGGCTCACCTTGGAGTCGACCATGCCCTTGAGCTCGATCATCATTGGCTGGCTGTACCAGTATCCCTGGGTGCTGCAGCAACGAGGAGCGCCTACCTTGATCTCATCTTGAGCCCATCTTCAGCTGCTGCGATTGCTCACCTTGGGGTCGACCATGCCCTTGAGCTCGATCATCATGGGCTGCACCACTGTGCGCACATAGTGCACGAATGTTGTGTTATTCACGTCGCTCTGATACATCTCCACCTCTGCTCAGGCCATGCACACACGCATACACGCATGCACGCACCCACGGATGCACGCATGCCATAGATGCGAGCCATGCCCACCATTCAAGCGAGAAAAAAAGCAACGGCGGATCCGTGTGAGAGGAGAGGCGCGAACTGACTCGTAACCTGCTCACTATCGAGTCAGCTGTATAAGTCAGCAAGTTCAAGCAAGCCGATACGCGAGCAGCAATGCAGGAATGACAGGTTCCGAAAGCATCATCGCAACACCGGCAAGGTACCATCACAGCCAGACCACCGGAGGTCCCGCGCCGGAAAACCCCTATCGGCGAGTGGCGAGACGCTTACTCTGATGGGTGGGAACTTTGGTAACCACATGTAACAGAATGAGCATGTCGTCTGGATGTCGCAGCCTGTTGACGATGGCCCATCGGATCGCGTCCTTGCTGCACGGGTCCTTCCCCACTCCCACCACCACGCGCTCGCACCCCGACCCAACCCATCCCGGCGTGCTTGTCCCGCTCGCGCTCATGCCTCACCGCTCCTTCCCCCTCCCTCCTTCCCCCCTTCGCCGGTTATTGCGATTTCATCCGCGGTAGTGACTGTCTCGAGTTAGCCGATTGACACCGCATTATCGATAAAGAAAAGCTAAATATCACTTTTTTGGACTACCCCATTGACACCGCATTATCCCTAAGTCGCGCGTTTGCGTATTCTATGAAATACTTAATGCACTGTCATCCGCATATCAATGATTTTCTATCCTGAAGACATGGCCAGGTTGACGAATTGAAAGCGAAGGGACTGGATATATGGCCGTTGAACTGACCGTGAAAGCAATCACTACGTACTAACCCTAGATTTCGCAGGCTTGTGTCGCCATACACAAGTCGCTACGGGGGTCGGTACAGGCTAGTATAGCAGGTCGACTATGGGTGGCTGTCCAGTCCAACATCAGGTAGGCGAGCCTGAAACGAGTCTTACCGAAAATCGTACGATTGCTTTAGTTGACCTAACTGGAGTGTCAGGGCATCCTGTCCTGAGTCAAGGGACACTCATGACCACGAGGGGTGCTGCGACAATGCGAGTCGCAAGTCGTGGTGACCCTTGGTTTAGTCGGTTGGAGAAAGTTGTTAAATGGTGAGGTTAAGGGAAGGTCGTTTCTGGTAGAACGGAGGGAGTGAGCAGTCAGTTAGTCACCCAGCAGAACCGAGGGAGAAGTTACCACCACCACTAGAAAATGGGAGTAGAATCTAGGGAGCGGAGCGGAAGGTAGGGAGCGGAGGAACCTAGGGAAACAGATGGCATGATACCGGACGCTCGTTTTATGCGGTGCAGTACAGTAACTCGTGTTATAACGCTTTTTAGAAATGTGTTTTGCGGTTGAGTGGGTAATGAGCCACCATGAGTTTATCAGATCGTCTCAGTATGAGGTTACTGGGGACAGCTAAACGACCCGTGGAGCCGAGTGGCGTTGCGGGGAGGCTGGGGGGAGCGATTGGCGGAAAATGATACTACAAGCGGACAGCCAGCTGGGTCTCTCTGACTCGCTGGCCCTTCAAAGCTGGCTCTTCGAAGCCGGGTTCGCTGTTCACCAATACGGACTGGAAGAACATCCCCGATCGCGGAATGCCAGCGAAGCAAGGTGCCCCGTTGGAGTAAAGTGTAGCTACAGTATTTTGTATACAATAAGAGCAGCTAATAATAAGAGTTAGGGGCATACATAAACCTTAAGAAATAGCTGGATTTCCGTCATGGGATACTCGCTCACCCTTAATACCAACGAGCGTGTTAAGCAGTTTCTCACACCAGTCCGTCATTTCTGCAAATCTCCCTCCACTCCATCGCTAGCGTCCTTCGCTGCCTCATCATCCATCTCGAATGCAGCTGCGTGTGAAGCAGCATACCCATTCATTCCATCCCCAACCACTACCAACTCATCCATCCCCATGTCCTCCCCAAGATCTTCCAACACACTCCGCACCGCCCCTGCACCATCATCCCCCTCATCCCGAGCATAACTCGCCGCCAACCCCACATCCCCCAGGACATTCTCCCCATACTCCCCCTCACTCACACCGCCTCCTCGCGCCTGAGAAGGCCCAGCGGCAGCACCATCGGCGCCAGCAGAAGAGGCAGTGGTGGCGGTGGCGGTAGCGGTGGTAGCAGTGTTGGCGGTGGGGTCGATGCGAAGGAAGGAGGGTTGTGAGGTGGAGGCGAGAAGGCGTGCCCACATGCGGTCTGAGAGAGAAATGCTGTTGGGCTTCTGTGTTATCTTCTGATGTGGGGGAAAGGGGGAGGGGGGAGAAGGGAGGAGTGAAAGAAGAAGGGGTGGTGTGAGAATATGCAGTTGCAACAGAGAGGAGGAGAGCATGAGATGATAGATGAGAGAGTATTGGATGGGAGGAATGAAAGGAAGAAACCCGAGAAGGAAAGCAGAGCCAGGGAGGGCATGCAGAGGCTTCCAGGACCAGTCTGAACGGGAAGAGAAATCGCAAAGAGATTGGCAGGAAGTGGCTTCGTGTGAGTGGGAGGGGAGTGAGTGAGGCGACGTGGGAGGGGGAGGGAGAAGGCGGGAGGGGAGTGAGTAAGACATTGACAGGGAAGTATCAGTGGCGGTTGTTGGGGGGGCCGACAATGAAGTGAGTGAGGATGGGAGTGAGTGAGGTGACATGGGAGGGAGGGAGAGCGCTGACATTGACGGGGATGTAGCAGTGGCGGTTGTTGACGGGGCCGACAATGAAGTGAGTGAGGATGGGAGCAAGTGAGGTGACATGGGAGGGGGGTGAAGGAGCGGGAGGGATAGAGTGAGTGCGCTGACATTGACGGGGATGTAGCAGTGGAGTTTGTTGACGGGGCCCACAACGAAGTGAGTGAGGATGGGAGTGAGTGAGGTGACATGGGAGGGAGTGCGCTGACATGGGAGGGAGAAACGGATGGAGGGAGGAAGTGCGCTGACATTGACGGGGATGTAGCAGTGGCGGTTGTTGACGGGGCCGACAATGAAGCCGGTGTAGCCCGCCATCACCCCGTGCACTGCCCCGTGCGCCAGCAGTGTGCAGTATATGTTGTCACTCGCGTTGGCAGGGATGGCGCGAATCATGTACGTGGGGTCTGGTGGGCAAGGGAGGAGGGGAGGAAGGGGGGGAATAAGCCCGCCATGACTCCGTGCTGTGCACTGCCCCGTGTGCCAGCAGCGTGCAGTATATGTTGTCACTCGCATTGGCGGGGATGGCGCGAATCATGTACGTGGGGTCTGGTGCGGGGCAGGGAGGGTAGGGGGGAAGGGGGTGTGTGGGAGAGGGGAGTGGGCGGTCATAAGGATGGTCAGATCATCATTCACCCTTTCATCCATTCATCCACCCACCCACCCACCCACCCACCGACTCACGCACGCACCAATGTACTTGAGCTGAATCTCCTGTAGCTGCCGTGCAAAGTGAATCTTCATTTGTTGACACACAGCAGAGATTGCTCCACTCCACTCGTACACACACCCACCCACCCCACCCAACCACTCACGCACAATACTAGCAAACAACCCACTTACGCACCAATGCACTTGAGCTGAATCTCCTTTAGCTGCCGTGCAAAGTGACTCTTCATCTGCGCCAAAGCACTTGCTTCACTCACACACACACCCGTCCAACCACACACGCATCCATTGAACCAACCACCCACAGACCCATTCAAATGCCGCATTCAACCACCCATCCCACGCACGCACCGATGTACTTCAGCTGTATCTCCTTGCGCTGCCGGGCAAAATGGCTCTTGATTTGTGCCAACATCCACAGCCCCACGTGCTTACCCCACCCGCCCACCCACACACGCACGCACCGATATATTTGAGCTGAATCTCCTTGCGCTGCCTTGCGAAGTGGCTCTTGATCTGTGCAGACATCCACAGCCCCACGTCCATCAGCTGACCCACACACCCCTTGAACCATTCGCACAACCACCCATCCCACGCACGCACCGATATATTTGAGCTGAATCTCCTTGCGCTGCCTTGCGAAGTGGCTCTTGATCTGTGCAGACATCCACAGCCCCACGTCCATCAGCTGACCCACACACCCCTTGAACCATTCGCACAACCACCCATCCCACGCACGCACCGATATATTTGAGCTGAATCTCCTTGCGCTGCCTTGCGAAGTGGCTCTTGATCTGTGCAGACATCCACAGCCCCACGTCCATCAGCTGACCCACACACCCCTTGAACCATTCGCACAACCACCCATCCCACGCACGCACCAATATTTGAGCTGAATCTCCTTGCGCTGCCTTGCGAAGTGGCTCTTGATCTGTGCAGACATCCACAGCCCCACGTCCATCAGCTGACCCACACACCCCTTGAACCATTCGCACAACCACCCATCCCACGCACGCACCGATATATTTGAGCTGAATCTCCTTGCGCTGCCTTGCGAAGTGGCTCTTGATCTGTGCAGACATCCACAGCCCCACGCACTCATTCAGCTACCTTCCCATCCACGCACGCACCAATGTACTTCAACTGAATCTCCTTGCGTTGCCTCGCAAAATGACTCTTGATCTGAGCAGACATCCACAGCCCCACGTCCATCAGCTTTGCATTCCCCGACGCGTCACGGCCCATCCCCGCCCCCACCACCAATGCATGCACCCATTCAACCACCCCATCCACCCACCCACACAAGCACGCACGCACCGATATACTTCAACTGAATCTCCTTGCGCTGCCTCGCGAAGTGGCTCTTGATTTGCGCAGACATCCACAGCCCCACGTCCATCAGCTTTGCATTCCCTGACGCGTCACGGCCCATCCCGGCACCA